CATTGAGTAATTAATGAAATTCAGTCTGTGTGCTTAAATATACATTTGTTCACTTAAAACTCAATCATCTTGTAGGATAGTTATCATTATCTTTTCCATTTTAAAGATAAGCAAACAAAGGAGAAATGGTGACATCAGACTCTTTACTCACGTGTTACCTCTTATTGAGGGGTCCATGGCCACTGCCCCTTCTTTGGCATTAACTCTCCCACTTCCTAATTTATTTTTTCCAAACAACTTCTCCCCCTGTAGGACACTATGTGTTGTGCTCTTTCCCTTGGTTATTGTTTCTCCCCTCTGTCCCACCCACCAACTCCCCAAGAATGTAAGTTTCATTAAGACGGGTACTATTTTCTGATCCATGTGTTCAATACTAGTTTCTATTACCTAGAATACTGCCTGACATAAAGGGCACTCAATACACATCTCTGAATGAATGTCGGACTCAAATGGTGCTTCCTTTTATGCATCATTCCACTTCTGAGTTTTAATTTATGAATCACTGACAACTGTTTTGTCCTTAGTTCCTTAAAGGCCTTTAAAGTGATGTGTTTATCTTTTTAACTTTGTAATGACCCAGAGAGGTGAGGCTGCCACATATATTAATGCCAACATTGTGAGGTATTTATGTATATGTACATGTCTGCAAGAGCATGCACTTGGGAATCGATAACGCCTGACCTCCAGCAAAATAAAGGCTGTGTGAATGCCTGGGGCAGTCTGGGAAGCACTGTTCAGAGGTAGGATGTTTCTATTATTATTCTGTTGTTATATGATGGTGGTCAGACGGTGAGACCTAAGCGGTTTAGGGCACTCACAGCCAGCTGAGAGCATACAAATAAACGTAATCAATCAGTCTACTTCCTGATGTACTGAGCAGGAGGGTTCATCTTCATTTGGACTCACTCCAGCCTTACATCTGCTCCCCAAACACTGCCTCTCCAGGGAGAGATGAGACAGAGACAGAGAGAAGTCAGAGGGACAAAGAGTCAGACAGACGGAGAGGAAAAACAAAAAGAGAGAACTAGGACAGAAAAGAGGAAACCATAAAGCAAATTTAAAAGGAGACCAAGAAAGTGTGTGTGTGTGTGTGTGTGTGTGTGTGTGTGTGTGTGTGTGCAGGGACAGAGCAAGAGAAAAAGAGCAAGAAAGGTCAACAGAAAGTTTGAAGAAAGAAGGAAGAAAAGTAGAGAGGAGAACAATACTGAAATGAAGAGGAGTGTTCTGTGAATAAACGTGATGAGACAGGTGCATCTGTGGGGCTTGATCCCTGAAGGCAACGCTAAAGAAACCCCCAGGTGTCTTGCCAAGGCTGTTCCCTGGAGTGTGAATTACCTGCCCTTGGAGATGACCTTGTTGAACAGCACTATGCCTGGCTCCAGGTAGCTGCATCAGCTTGTTTGTTGACTGATTGACTGGATGACTAAATAAATAAATGAATGGTAACAGGCATTTAATTTTTTTTATTGATTTCTTTTTAGGGAGAGTGAGGGAGAGAGAGGAACATTGATGAGAGAGAACATCGATTGGCTGCCTCCTGCATGTTCCCCACTGGGCATCAGGTGCACAACCTGGGCATGTGCCCTGACCAGGAATAGAATCAGTGACCTCTTGGTGCCTGGGTTGACGCTCAACCATTGAGCCACACCAGTCGGGCAAGAGAAATTTAGATGTGTACTTTTTTGGAGTGACTCACTTTGTTAACAGTTGTATGCCTTTAGAGTCACACATTATTATCCAGTGGTTTTCGTATTAGCTGACAAAGAGCAGGGCAGGGCTCACAGGATGGCTGGGACCCACAGTGGTAGGGCGAAGGGCAGGGCTTGTGGTGGCAGAGACGTGATTATGAATCTACATCAAAGCCACTGTGGTGTGGGTTCAGAGCTAGCCCCTATTCAGGACAAAACTTTTTTTTTTTTTTCAGGACAAAACTTTGAGGCTTTAAAGAAATCATTTGAATAACAACATAAAAAAAGGTAGAAATAAAAAAGAGAAGTTGAAAATTGAATGTTCCTTGAACATTATGTAAACTTTCAGATTTTTAATCCATGTGGACCTTTAGCAGGTGGTTTAATCCACATGATGGATCTTCCCAGAAATGGGACAAGACACAGTTTATGTGATAGAGGTTAAGGAAGCTCCGAGACACAGAATGGAAGTCACTTAAAGGTAATTTGTCTGAGGTCGTGTACGTAGTTGATAGCTGAACTGGAACCACAGCCCCGGCCCCTGACTTTTGACCCTGTATTTCCTTTGCCTTTAAATGTGTGTTGTCTGCAGCAGGACAGTGTGCAGCTTCCATTGCAAACCCACTTCTTAGTCCAGCCCCCAGCACCATGCGCTCAGAGAACTGGCCAATAGGTGAGTCTTATTGGTTCCCAGACAGTCTAAAAATAATTTCTTCTCCTATTTAAACTAGTTCTAAGTTTATAACTCCAACTATTTATGAGTTTTCTCCAGTCCTCGAGGTAAGAGGTGTCACCATTTGTCATGCCTGGCTCTTCCGACAGCAGGAGGTTCCCATTCCTAGAGAGCTGTCATTCTGTCACTGGGCCTTGTCGTTTTCTGTTTCTTCATTTGTAATTTATTTCTCCCGTATTGTCATGAGGAAACATTACCTGGAGACTATTATAATGAAATACTTTGAGTAATAGGTGCCAATCATCTCCCAGGGCTTTAAGAAGTATTTCTCAAGGGTTTCAAGATCTCTTCCTGAAGAGCCATTTAAAAGAATAGTCTAATTTTATTCTACTCTCCTGGTGCAGAAATAAATATAATAATTATTAAATATTCATCTTCCATTTTGCATAAACAGAATTTCAGCCAACTGATTGAAAGCCACTAAGCTATTAGAATTCAATCTGACACCGTTTCTTGGCAGGCGCTGACCAGCAGATGGCTTCATATTTCTGTGACCTCTGGTGCCCACTTCCCCGACCCACCTGACCTTGTGCTTCTCCTCACGTCCTCTGCTGCACAGTGAGAGCACAGACATCGTGTCCAGAGGCTCGGCCCATGGGTCGCGCTTGGTACTCATTGGTACCAAGATTGAGATATTCTATGTCTGAGGTTCATTTCTTATGTATGCCCCTGTTTTGGGGATATGTATTAGGAAATGCATCTTATAATGATCAAGGATTGGCAAAGAGCACTTAATAAAATGTCTATGAATAGATAAAACACATTAAGAAGTGACTAATCATAAATACGTTATTTTTTATTCTATCCATTAGTAGGGACCACGGATGTATTAAGTTTGAAACTACAGGGAAAAGGACAGTCTAGTCAATGGATAGGAACGTTATGTGTAGAATCCTAAGGGGAAGATTTCAGTGATATAAGAAATATCTCACTTGATCAAAATAAAGGAACTCACATAATGGTTTTAGTCAATATTAAGCAGTAACAAGTCAATTACCAGGACAACTGTGACACAGAAACTGGGATTTGTCCTTTCCTGGATGCTACTGAATGAAAGGCCTCCCACTTAATAAGAAACACTAGTGTTCTCAGTCAGCTACTTACACTTCATCTCATTAAAGGCACGCAGCACGAGGTGAGCCATGAAGAAATTAGCTATTGCCTCATGCTTTGGCAAAAGGAGAAAGAGAAAAAACAATGTCACATGTCTTATTCCTGAGGTGCTGTTTCCTAACTCTGTTCTCTAATAGGAGCAACATAACCCCTCTCCCTGGTCTTTGTTAAATTTAAAATAATATTTATACAATTGTGAAATATAATTTTATTTACCTGAGTTTTTTTTTTCACATACAAACTTTCAGTATAAAAACATATTCAGGCCTTCACAAGTAGTTTTTATTGTCAAAAAACAAATCCAAAATGACGGGCCTTTTTGTTACAATTAATGAGAATTTACCTGAATGAGCATATGGTTCCATCAAACCACTATTCTTTATTTTATTATTTATTTTAATTTTCAGCCAAAGATATTTTTTATTGATATTTCAGATAGAGTAAAAGGGAGGAAGGGAGAGAGAGAGAGAGAGAAACATCAATGTGAAAGAGATACATTGACTGGTCACCTCCCGCCTGGACCCAGTCGGGTGACATGAATGGAACCTGCAACCCAGCCATGTACCCTTGACCAGGAATCAAACCCAAAACCCTTCAGTCTGAGGGCCGATGCCCTAACTGCTGAGCCAAACCAACCAGGGCCAAACCACTATTCTAAAATCTCCTTTAATACCTCTCATCTGTGTGTCCTCTGAAGTCAGGACTTACCAGCAATAGAGATATGCTGTAAAGAAAATATACTTAAACAGTATTAAAATGTAGTTTTGGGTGGTTGGAGTGCCTGATTTTCCTTTGTGGCCTGGGTGACCTTAAAACAAATGCCTTGTTTGCTATCTCAGCACTGCTGACATTAAATGAAGGCCGAGGAGGTGAACAGCGCTAGGCCTTGGCGGTGTGCCTCTCTGGTCAATGTTTGACTGGCAACCTTGTATGATGTTTTTTTTTTCCAAAGTTAATACTCCACCGGCCTCCATAGTGCAGGACTTGAGGTGGGTGAACATCTCAGAAATCCTTTACTAACTGTTCAGCGGGATGTTAATCATTTCATTTAAAAAAGCAAGAAAAGAGATAGTAGGCTTAGGTTACTCTGGCCACACTGGAATTTGATGTGTCAATGTTTTTATTTCATGGACAGTGCAACTCAATTTCAAAGCAGACCATGCAGTGCCAACCTGTGGGCATTCACTGGAGCTTGGTAGCAGAGCAGGTGGAGACCACCTGCACCTCCGCCTCTGTGTATGGATTCCCCTCTCCCTTCAGGACTGGAGGGAGGAGAGATCTCAGGCCCGGTTCCCACCACAGCTGCCCGAGAGCGTGGCTGCCGTGGGGCCGCAGGGCCCGAAGCCGAGCTGCTGTGCTCTCCGTGCAGGAGCTTCGCTGTGGCGAAGACGGAAGCGTTGCAGAGTCACCTTCCAAACGCAGCACTGGTTACCAGGCTGTCCTTGGGAGTCCAGGGATCCCAGCCATTACCAGGACATCGGTTTTGTTATACTGTCCCCAAAAGTTACTTTGTTCAAAACCCCAAGTTTCAGGGAAGAGGAGTCATCTGTCCATACAATGGATGCAGACAAACTTGTTTTTTGAGTTTGGGAAACCGATTTCCTCCGATGCCTGTGCAGCAGCTGCTGCAGCTTGTCCTTGAAGGAGCTGGTGGTGAGTGTGTAAAGCACTGGGTTCAAGGCGCTGTTCACGGGCAGGAAGAAAACCACGACCCAGGAGGTGACTGTGTCTGGAGAAGGAAACAAAGTGTGGAGAGCAGAGGTTTTCCTTAATGTCTTCATAACACTTTGGAGTCCTTGCCGTTTCTGAGGGGCTACCTCATCCACATGAGTTCTCTCTCACCAGATTGCAATCCCTTTGATGGAAGAGTGTCAGAGCCATAAATGTGAGATTCTACCAATTAACTGTTATGAATGTCATTAACTGCTCTGTAGGTTGTTGTGAGGCTAACTGAGAGGAAATAGGTAAAAATACCTCCTAAACTATACATTCATATATAATGTGTGTTTCTTGCCTTTATAGAAAAATACGAAAGTGAGGAAATACTTTTTAATCAGTAGAACAGTGTTCAGGAAACTGCTGGTCCAGGGTCAGGTTGGACGTTGGTTTTAACCTCAGTCCTGGAGGCCTTACGGCCCTCAGATCCCAGCGGTCCTGTGCAAAGGGAGTCTGGCAATCTGAAGGCCAAACCCAGTGCGTCTCCAGACCTAATGTGTTGCTTTTGTGTGAAACCTCTCAAAGGCTAGTAGACTAGACTGGGGACGATGCCATAGAGTTCTCTGTGAGAGAAACGTGGGGCTAGCTGAGCATCTGTAGTTGAAAAAGCATTTATTGTCCAGCTGGTGTGGCTCAGTGGTTGAGCATGGACCCATGCACCAAGAGGTCGCCGGTTCGATTCCCGGTCAGGGCACATGCCCAGGTTGTGGGCCTGATCCCCAGTGGAGGGCATGCAGGAGGCAGCCAATCGATGTTCCCTCTCATTGACGTTTCTCTCTCTCTCCTTCTCACTTCCTCTCTCTCTAAAATTAATAATAAAAAAAAGCATTTATTTAATAATACTGTGTTAAAATACAGTGCATAGATAAATAAGGCATGGTCCCTACTCCCTACTCATAGATATATTAATAGTAATGCTGACATGAGGCCATTCACATGAGGCTAATGAATGAACTGTGACAAAATGGAATGGCTGTTGCAGCAGTGGGTTGGATGGGAGTGGGTCGGCGCAGGTCTGAACTGGGACAATGGACAAGGGAGCGCTCGCTTTAAACCTTGGAGGATAAGAGCGGTGTTTGGTAGGCTGGAGTCTTACAGGCTGAAAACATAATTCAGGTGGAAGGAACAGCTTCAGCAAAGGCAAGGCATAAAAGAAGTTTTTTTTAAAAGCCCAATAATTCGAATGGGCCTGGATCACAGAATATATGAAGGTGGGTCAGGAGGAAGAAAAGTCTTAATGCTAATCCCAGCACTGAGACTTTATTTCATGAGCAACAAAGGCCAAAGAACATTTAAGTCCGGTTGAATTTGAAATGTTAAGACAACAATGGAGAGGTGTGGGAGGTTCTGGTATACTGAGACTTCATCAAGGTGCATCTGTCACCAGTAAATAGTTAATTAACTCTGCTCTTCACATACAGCTGATTTCCCGAGTAATCTCACATTTTCTTATGGCTTTTGCTCTTGCCATTTAGTCAAGCTTCCCATTAGTCCTGATCTTCACTTCTTCCATGGTTGAGGGACATCTGTGCCCTACTGGGAGACTAAGCTAATGGGCTGAGGGGATTCTGTGGCTGTCATGTGTCTTTTACAGCCAGGCATTTGACAGGGTCCTTCAGACGTTGTGCACAAGCCAGAGGGACATAGTTGTTTCTTGCACAGTTTTCACTCTTTTATAAGTGCTTCAGACAGGTCAACCTCGTGCTCCAAAGTGGTGTCCCAAGATGACAAAGACACAGTTCCTGCCCTGAATAAACTCCCCTTGTAGGTTTGCAAAAGCCTGAAACAGTGAGTTTAACATGATCCCAAAAGTGTTTCAGAGTCGGGCGAAAGCCCTGGGTGGCCCCTAGATGGGTCTGATTTCTAGGTCCCAGAATGAGCTTTGAGTAAAATCCTAACTACTGAGGAGGTGCTCTTCTCTGGTTGAGTGGGAGAGTAAATGGGGAACCTGGCCTCTTGGATGAGGCCCCTTCCACGGAGCACCTAATGCCCTGGAGAGCTCGGTGTGATGACCGTTTGGCCAGGACCATGACATAGACCCACTCTTCTTAATCAGGGACGTGCACCTCAGAACCACGGGGGCCCTTTTCAGACCACCCCTGTAGAGGCCTTAGCCCCGATGGACTAAATTCTGAGGCCTGGGGAGAACCTGGGCATGAATATTTTTATTTCTCATATATACTCTTGGTTAAGAACCATTACCCCCCGCAAGTAGAAGCAAGACCCTATGACTTTGTTTTTCTCTCCTGTTTTTTATTTTGATTATTCTTGTCTAGATTGTACCACTGCCTTCGAATACTGTCTTAGAATACTGAGTATAAAACTCGGAGGGAAGAAATAACCATTTGTGTTAAATTTGCGGGTATTTCTGGAGAATTTGTGGAGAATTGTGAAGCACTGTGTTCTGACCTCATCAAACACAGGGCATCAGAAGGCACTGTGCTCGGGAAGAACAGAAGGCACTGACCTGGTACCTCCACGCGGAGGAGGGAAAGGATTTTGATGACAAACACAGGAATCCAGCAGATGGCATCAGAGCACACGATGATCAAGAAGCGGTTCGCCACAGCCACCTCTCTCCGGAGGCGGCTCCTCACTTCCGAAGTGTGCAAGGCTGTTCTTTGAATGGAGCAGAACATAACACCATAGGAAAAGACCATGATGAGAAACGCCAGCAAGTTCACACCTGCTGGGAAAAGCACAGCTCTTAGCATCTCGAGGGCACCCGTCGGCAGTGAAGAGACTGGTACTGAGGCGCGGGGCAAGGAGCTCTCTCTCCATCAGCTAGTGGTCTCGGCCAACACCCTGACTTCAAGGGCGTGAGCTGGAATAAGCTGATGGAGTCAGGTTTGCCTGATCAGAAAGAGATTTCAAATACATAAGCCTTTAGGAAGAACTCTAGACTTCTGAAATTCAGCTTGGGGTACCACAACGTATATTTTAGTTTTTTAAAGCAGGAAAAAAGCTACTTTTGTCTTTAAGAGCTATTTGCTCTGCAAATTTATGTGTACAAATGCATACAATAATCATATGTACATCTCAAAAAAGAAGTATGATCCCATTCTTTTATAAATATAAATAAGATAACCTAGGAATATCAGGAAGGTAATAGCCTTAGAAACATTAGTCCTCATGTTATTTTGGTATAATATAAAAATAATACATAGAACAAAAGCACCATGTTCTTTATTTGTTTATTTTTCTTCATATTGCTTATAGTAATTTAAACTAAAATTCAATACATTGTAGACTTGTTTTAGGAAACAAGAAAAAAGTTAAAAATTCAGCTGTATGAATGATTCTTTCAAAATTAAATATGCTCAGAAGAAGGGCCATGCAATGCTGACGGCTGGTCACTTTGCTGTTTTCTTGCTACAGTAAGAATCCTGAGTGATCCTCTGATACTCCATGGTAAACACAGCATCTGCATGCATCAAAGTTGTTAAAAAGTGTTCATCTGACTTAGGCTGCATGGAAGACTTGTGATGTCTCAGGGAAAATACTATAAATTCAAAGTGTTCTATTGTTTTTATTCAACACTTTTTATTTTTTACAGAATCTCATTATAAATCCATACAAGAACATTTCTAAGGATTGATTTATCGCAGGCCTCTTGCCGGAAAGTTGAGACTAAAATAAACGACTATTGGAGATGACCCTCCGGTACGAGTTCTGAAAGCTGACTTACAGGAAGCAGCAGGTACATGTTTCGAAGGCTCCACGACAATGTGCGATGCCAATGGCGGGAGACACTGGGTGATGGGCACAGGGAAATTGTCCCATCCCTGCTACTCTTTTTCTCTAAATCTAATTTATTCTAAAAATTAAATTCTAAAATTTTAAATTCTAAAATTAATTTAAAAAATTGTGTGTTCTTATATTCTTTAAGCAGAAAAGGGCTCTAGGACTCCAGAGAGAGAGCGAGCGAGCTATCTCTTTATCTATCCAGACTATATCCCAGGTGCTAACACCCTTTTAGCTGACCCACACCTTAACTATAAACTCTGAACGCCATTCGCCTTCATCTGGGCCTATTCCCTGGCTTTAGGCGTCTCCGTCCTCCGTCTTTTCCTGAACACAGCCTGCGCCTTCACTTCACCAATGCCTCCTGCTCCTGTGGGCCTGTTTGGATCATTTCCACCGGGGAGCCTCCCCTGGGGCCAGGTCTAGGGCTCCTGGAACATGCTGGACTCCTCCTCCATGCATGTCAGCCTCTGACATAAGGATGCGTTTACTCATTTCCATGCTCGTTTCTGGCTGCAGCTCTGTGAGGGACGATCTGTTGTAGCTCCAGGACGCCGAGTGATGTTTGGCCTATAAGTGCTTCATAAATTCATGTGGGCTCAATGAATGTAACGTGATGTAACATAGCACGTGCGTGTGAGCGTATGTGTGATGGAAGCTCTCTGTGAAGTGCACCGATACTGGGCACATCTTACAACATCCTAGGAGGCACATATCCATGAAACATAGCTATAAAACAAGGTAGTGTGTGAGGAGTATTATTAAAAGGGTGCAAGTGTGTTTTATTTTTCAGAGAAAGAAGAGAAGGGATAGGTGGAGAAGAGCTGGGCCCAGTGGCAGGGCCACTTTGTGATGGGCTTTAAGTGACTGATTTAAACGTGACCTTGGTAGCGGCATGGTGTCATTGGCGGGCTCTGAGCAGGGCGCACACAGTCTTTCAGTCCTCAAGGAGCAGGAGCGGAAACAGTGCCACTGACCACGTGAGTGAGAGAGAAGGCCCACGGGACACTAGGGCCATCAGGGCTGATGTAATTCAGGTTCAGGTGGTAGGGTTTTTAAAGGAAGGTGGTAGCAGTGGGTTGAGAGATTGAAAGACACAGAAAGCATATTTTGATGAAAAATACTTGTGAAAAAGAAAGAATAATAGCATTTATTCACCTTTAGGCATGAGAAAAAGATGAGAAGAGGAAACTCCCCTAAAGAGACAACTTGGGAATGGTTTTAATTTTAGGCAACCAAGATACCTATTAGATGATTTTTTAAAAAAAAAAGGTTTTTAGCCTTAAAAGACTAAGCTTCTCTTTCATTTGTAACAGAGAACATATGGTTTTCTTTTCTGAGAAACCTGAAAGGTGAAGTTTCATCAGTTATCCTTACATTAACTCTCAAGCAGCATTGACCAAAGGCAATAAACCTTCCTGGAATTTGCACTCAGATAGTCTCCCATAAGTGAGTTTCCAGAACCTTATTATTGTCATTTAACTCATATCTAGACTGTAAAACAAGATGAGTTCACGAAATGGTGCGAGATTGACCTAGTGACCTGGAATCCCTCCAGCTCGCAATCTGTACATGTGGACATGAAGTCAAAGGTCTAAAGGCCATGAAAACCATCCATAGACATTGACAGGACGTTTTCTTCATATAAAATCTTTATAATAAAAAGTTTAATAAGAAATTCTGTAAATACACAGCAAGAACTGTTTTTAAAATGAACAGAGTCTTGTCTATATTTGTTGACTTTCTCAAATGAATATATAGACCTTTGCTAAAATTTGTGGTATTTTTTTTTTTTATCAAAATAACATTTGTCCAGAAAATGAAAAATATAATTTACCTAGGAAAATTCCAAGAGAATACCCTTTGCTCCCGGTATCTTCGGCTTGATCATAATAAAGTGGGAAGCATACTCCATTTTTTCCATAAAAGTTTCCAAAATAATCCTCATTCCAAAATGGGATCACAGCTATTAAAAATCCCACAATCCAGATGCCAAGGAGGATGGCCGAGGTCTGCCGTTTTCCGGGACGAATGTTACTGAAGGGAAAGACAATGACCAGGAACTTCTCCAGCGTCAAGTATGTGAGCAGCAGGACAGAGGCTTCCGTGGACAGCATGGCCAGGGCGCCCATGAGGCGGCACTGCACGCTGCCCGTCCACACCAGCGCGTACTTCTGGTACTGCCCGCGGTACTTCAGGTCGGAAAAGCCAACGAGAAACAAATACACACCCATCAGGCAGTCCGCACCTGTTCAGGAATGGACACAGGTAGGTGGTAGTTCCCAGAATTCCTGTTTCAGTTTCCTGATTAGGTCTCCTTCCTTCATCCTCTGTTGAATGAACTAATAGAAACACCTACAACAGTACCTAGAAGCCAATGCACTTCAAAAGGTATACTATTTCTAAGTACCATGCTACATCTTAGTTTTATAACTTAAAAAAAAAAATTGGCGGGGGAAAATGAGGGGACTAGTTTGTAAATAATAAACAAGTATTACATGGTTAATAAAAAGAATCATTTTCTGGGCTTGAGTAACATGGGTGTTACTGTATTTGAGGGTTAAACAAAGTTTAGTTTATAACCCACAATCTGTCCTCCAGAATTCATTCCTTGACTCTTGAGCTCCCTGTTACCCCATTTCTAAGACATAACCCCCAGGAGTGGGTACTAGTTTCCTGAAAACTCATACAATCTAGAACAGAGTAGCCAAAGATAATAGCACCGTATTTTAAAAAAATTGCGCAACAAATATAATTTAAATGCCATTGGTTGAAGGCCAGTATCTACCTAGTTTACAGCTCACAGAAGATATCCCAGACTTATGTAGGATTAGGAAACATACTTACAGCAAAGGATTTTGATGGACATGGCGTGAGTCGTGTTTTCTGCTTTAATGAAAGATCTCATGCCAATGACAAAAAGGTTTCCAGAGCAGGTTATGAAAGCTATAACCCAGACAAATATTCTGAGGATATTGTTAGCCAAGAGGTCCTCAAGTGAAGAAATGCCGTCAGTCAGGGGCACACATATTCGGACATGGGGAGCATAGGAGCAGTATCGAAAGTTTTTGAAATAACTAAAGTCAAAGGGAAAAACAGAGTCACTTTACAGCAATGACACAGAAACCACAGCTGCGATCCCAGTAGGGCTGCAGCTCTGTTAGGTACGCAGCCTCACTAGGTCTCTCTGTTTTGTTTAATAAAGATTATGTAATTTAAGTGTTCTTCATGAAATAGACGTTAATCTACTCAGGATGCTTTTAAAACACAAATCTAGCACATCTGGTGTGGCTCAGTGGATTGAGCACCATCCCATGGACTGAGAGGTCCCGGTTTGATTCCCAGTCAGGGCACATGCCCGAGTTGCAGGCTCAATCCCCAGTAGGGAGCATGCAGGAGGCAGCTGATAGATATTTTTCTCTCACATTGATTTTCTATCTCTCTCTAAAAAATCAATAAAAACATATTAAAAGAAAATGAACCTAAAAAACATAGAAATCCATGACTTGTCTGAGGTGAATCAGAGGAAGACGTGAGAATGTGACTTCTCTGTCACATTGGATTATTCTCTAGGGTGTTATAAAAAGTAGATTGTCATTGTTAAGTTGATCTTGACAAATTGTCAGGGGCTTGGGTTTGGGGTGCAAAGGACCTATGGTAGCTCACTACGAACATTCCTGTTTTGTACTTAGTTTTAAGTATACTCACTTAAACTAGCTTCTTATCCCTGGCAGAAAGGGAGGGTCTCTGAGACTAGGAAAACTCATTGTCACTGGAGCTAGGAGAAAAAGCAGCTGCCTGAAACACAGATTTATTCCCAGGGACTAGAAAAACTTAGTTTCTAGAGGAAAACCAGTTTGTTTGTGATCAATCTGTTTATGACCCAGGTGTGTGGAATGGTCAAGCGTCTGAACTGAGGAGGTCACGTGCCTTTTGCCCTTCCCCAAACCTGTATGCTTAGGGTTTTCTCCCATTGAACTCATTCTAGTTTTGTATTCTTGTAACCACCTGTTTTAGTTCATCTCTTTTCTTCCAAATATTTTTATTTTCCTCCATCCAGTTGGTAAACCAGCAAATTAAACAAAGCTTGATTTTCCCACAGCTTCAAGGCCACCATGATGGGACCCCTGGCCACCAGATGCTCCTTCCTCCTGGGCTTCCTGCCTCACTCCACCCAGACACACTGGCCCCTTCTAACCCTCAGATAAGCCAGCTCACCCTCCTCTCAGTATGATGCCTTTGCTTTTCCCTCTGCCTGGAAGATTCTTTCCTCTTCCCTTGGATATTCAGGGCTGCCCCCTCCCTCTGTCAATGTCCACTAGAATGTCAGGTCATCTGACTTCTCTGTGGCCCACTCTCATTTTTCCTCTATCCCTTCATTCTGCTGTACTTGTTTTCAGAGCATTTACTGACTTGTTTGTTCAGAGCATTTGTTTGTTTATATATTTGCTTTCTGGCTCTGAAGTCTCCATGGGGCAGATACTTGTGTTACCTGGCCATCCTGCAGATCTAGAACAGTGCCTGGCACAGGGGAAGTACTCAGGGAACACTTCTTAGATGAGCTAATGAATGACGTGTGAGTTAGTGCTGGGGTGCAGGTAGAAAAGTGGGAGGCAGTCCCTGCCCCCTAGCAGCTGACAGTCTAGCTTCCCCATATCATCTACCCAATGGAAGGCACTTGACGTAACTGTCCTGTTTTCCCTTCCTTCCCTGGAGTCCCTGGCATGCACGTGACCTCTTGGTCTTTCAGGAATTATGAGCAGTGTCTTCGGGTAGAGCCAGCTAGGGTCTCCCAGTGGTCCAGCCTCACCTCCCACTGTGACTGTTGGTGGGTAGAAGGGATGGTTTACGGGGTGAAAGTGTTTCAATAAGTGTGGACAAGGAAGATAAAAGGAGAATCAGGCCACTTTGTAGGGACCTACGTGGACACATGTTCTGTTAGTTGTTGAGTCCTCTTGACCTCAACCTAAGGTTCTCTTTCTGGTTCTAAAATGGTTGAATCTCTCTGTGCTAAGACCTCGCACTCGGCCTGTAACAAGGAAGTGAGAGCCTCCTTAAACCCTTATCTACTGGTGGCCCGTAAAGAAACTGTGGAAACCAGGTGGGTGTGCACCGAACACGTGTCCTTGAGTAACCACAACTATGGCACAGACAGATGGAATGTTTCCCAAAACAGCACCTTCACACCCACCATTTCAGCCACTTGCTGCACCCAACTTGTAAGCTTACTTCGAATTCTCCCTATTGTTGTGAATAATAATGGTTAATTTTTAAAATCATGAACACAGAGGTTACACATTTGATAAAGAAATGATCATGTCATAAACACACATATATTAACACAACTTACACAGTGCACTTTAGTGAAAAATATTTAAGTGATTTACCAAAAACTACTATAAAGATGAATTACCTCCATTGTGAAGTGCACTTAGTAACAGTAACAACACCTGGAATTTATGTAAGCACCTTTCTTCCTAAGGGCTCAACTCCTAGAGCAGCCGACTGCTCACTCATGAGAGGTGAATTAATGTTCCCAGGTCTCCTGAGTGCCATTGAGCCAGTGACTTCATCTTGTATAATGTGTGGCACTCTGGGACCCTGATTTCTTATTGGGCCTCAATTGGATAAACAGCATGTTTCCAGAGAGACGTGTCATTCATGTCGGCACATCATAATATTGACTTCTATTTGAACAGGGACCAAAGGTGACAAAATTAAAAAGTTCTCAATAAAAAGACTTTTGTTGCACAAAAACACATTCAGTGACACATGAGACAGTTTGCACTAGAACATCTGTGACATCCCACCATGCGGTCTTCTCCATTCTTTCGTACATACATACATGTGAGAAAGATTCCTCATGGGCTGAAACATGCGTGTGTTTATATTTGGAATCTCTATCCTTTCCAGGTCTCTGGAAAACAGGCACAACAGGTTGTGGGTGTTAGGGTTTCACATTTTACTAATTGCATTCTTTGTGCTTTCTAAATATCACCTTTCAAAACCCTCTGTCACCGGTTCAGAGTAGGATGAGCATTTCACAGTAAGTCATCTTAGAAAACTGCCCTCTTTCTTTATGCCTCTTGTATGTAGGAGCTCATTTTGTCACTTCATATGCAGAATTACATTCTAATACAACACAATCATTTATTTCTTTGGTTTAAAAACAGCAGTGGTGCCCAGCCGGTGTGGCTCAGTGGACTGAGCACTGTTCCATGGGCTGAGAGGTCCCGTTCGATTCCCAGTCAGGGCACATGCCCTGGTTGTGGGCTCCATGCCCAGTAGGGGGCGTGCAGGAGGCAGCTGATCTATGTTTTTCTTTCCCTTCCTCTATCTCTAAATATTCAATAGAAACACATTTTTAAAAATGGCAGTGGTGACTTGCGTGGTTAGGACATGGGCTTGACAGCTCCATTTTAGAAACCATGGCCTGTGCGTTGGAACATTTCTGACAGGGGCTGCAGTGTCCAGCCAGAGGACATCACTAAGTGCATTTGTGAGGATCTGGATTCAAATACAGTTTTCTTTTTTTTTTTTTTTTTCTGGCCTATGTGTCTTTATGGGGGAGTCAGGGAAGCAGTTAGAAGAGCTCCATTTCTGGACCACTGTTTCCTAAGACAACAGTGGGAAGCATGATCCTTTAAGTTTTCTGTCCCCAGAAGATGTCCTCAGAGGGCTCCAGTGATAACCTCCTGCTCCTCATTTATTCAGATGCTTCTTCAAATATGGATTCTTTGAAGACCTCGTTGGGATGGCACGGATTAAGGGAGTATGCCTGTTCTCAGGAGCCACAGATGGAGAGAGGACAAGCAAAATGATAGAAACCTTTCACTTTTAAGGTTTACTGTGAAAGGTGTTGGATTCTCACTCCATTCCTTTTGGACAAATCAGAATAAGGATTTCTTGACATGGTCCTGAGTTTCCTTCACCCACTGTGTCTTTCACAGAGGAAGCACCTCGCCCTTCGGTCATCAGAGGCCCTGAGTCCTCACAGCCCCTCCTGCAGGGCATGCTGAGTCCTTCTACAGCATTTCCCTCTTATTTCCTTGGCTCTCCAGCTTTCTCCTGGACTTATCACAGTTTTAATTTTGCATGGATAGTGTGATTATTTGAATAATAAACTATAGTTTCCAAAAGAGCAGAAACCATTATATCCCGAGTGCTAAAGACAGCAAGTACTAGAAACAAGTTGGTGGCTAGTAAATGTGAAATAAAAATGGAAAGGAAGCTTTAGGGGATGAAAAAGAAGAAGAAGAAATGAGGCAATAAAGAAAGAAAAGAAATGTAGAAAGAAAAGTTCGAAGTAAATAGTTACAACCTTGACTTTTCAGAAAGACGCTACCTGGTAACTCGATATTTTGCCTTTCAGAATTCCATTTGTGGTGAGTGAAGGAAGAGTCTGTTTGTGCACATTCTGTCTGTTCTTATATTTAAAAACCATGTATTATGTATATTTGATTTTTAATATTCTAGCTTCTTGAGAGCAACAACCAGTCCTTTACATCAGTGGATGCTCGCTAACACCATGGAGGGAGAACCTTCACCTTACATTCATTTCCAATAGAAAACGATTGAGCATGAATGAAAAGTGACATTCAGTCTTGGTCTTTGGGGTTGAATGAAGAAAGGCTTTAGCTGAGCCTGGGTAACACGGCGCACGATCATGTACAACAAAAGGTGATGCCAGGGGTCTTGACACCATTTACCACCTAATACATTTGAAGTTTTAAAATACTAAACAAAATGAATTGTCTGAATATTCAGCTTTGTGGCATATTTGTTTCCTGCACTGACTGAACCATAAAAGCTCTGTGGACTGACAGCAAGTTGGCTGCTGCAGGGAAGGGAAAAGGGAAGAAGCGGCAAGTCTTCCATAATCTGCTCTTCTCCAAAGGTTGAATAACAAAACAACTGCAAATTTAATTCTCTATAAACACTGTAGGATGAGGTTTCCCATATGAATCAGCTGTATTTCTAAGTGAAGTGCGCCCACTAAAATAATCATCAACATAGTTCACTTACAGAGACTGAAGTTGTTGCAGGCCTTCGAACTGGTTCTTGTGGAGATGCAAGAGAGGGTTTGACGACAGGTTCCTTTGTTCCATCAGAGGGAAGAAGGAAGGAAGGGACAGGATGTTATCATTTTGGATGCTTAAGATGCTGCCACTTAAAGCTGATGGCCGTGGTAAGAACTTACAGTTTTTGCAGAAGCTTCAGGTCTTTGAAAATGTGGGCGGGTAGCTCTGTTATCATATTGCCAGACAGGTCCCTGTTGGTGACAGTAAAAATCCAAAGCAATTACATTGGAAATAAATGAAAGAGTTATTACTCCTCTCAATTGTCATCATCGCACTTGATGTAACAGAGAATATGATTCAGTTTAAGCAACTTGATAGATAACTTGTTATACAACCAGGTCATGTGAGTCGGCCAAATGGATAGGTTTTCCGTCACTTTCAGACATGTGACATTTGGCTCAACCAGTTCTGTCTGGAATTTCTTCTCAGTCCCTTTCCAACACATTCCCACCCTGGCTTCAGTATCTAGTTTGATTAGTTTCCTGTTTTAGGTACTCTTTGTGCGTCTACAGTTCACTGTTTTGTAATCCTACTTGGTTCATATATGTGACATCATGTTTATTCAACTCTAAGCTTTCTGAGGTCAAGATCTATGCCTTCTATTTATTATACATTCCAACTAAGACAGCATTGTTGTGTGCACTGTATCTGTCAGGATAACCTTGAATGGGTAAGGTCACACATTTTCATCTATTTTTATATGGTAGTATTTTTTATGAGAAACTGAGACTTTAAAACTAAATATAAAGGACTGTCTGATCCAGAAAGAATCATAGGGAAGTGTTTCTGCAGAATGAGGAAAGAGGTTTGCTTTGATCAGAAGGAATCAGAATTTTCTTGTTTGTTAATCCACACCTGAGGATATTTTTTCCATTGATTTTTAGACAGAATGGAAGAGAGGAAGGGAGGGGGAGAGAGAGAGAAAAATAGAGAGAGGGAGAGGAAGAAACATTGATGTGAGAGAGACACATGGATTGGTTGCCTCTGCACATGTCCCAACCCAAGCCGGGGATCAAACCTGCAACCCAGGTGCATACCGTTGATGGGAAATCAAACCTGTGATGCTTTGGTGCACTGGCCATTTTTCTACCACTGAGCCACACTAGCCAGGGTGGAATCAGGAATTCTTAAGAGTTCAAAATATTGTTCTGAGCCAGAGAAGATGTTAAACCAAAACACGTGAAACTGCCTAAAAATCCAACAAAAAATCTTACCTACTTTTGATGCTCTGGAACTGCTGGTGGATGTGGGAGAACTACAAATACCTAAGACTTAGCTCTTTCTCTAAAGAAGCTTAAAATGAGAGCAAGCAGCTTGATTATAAACAAGGAAAGAGTGAAACAAGTGCTGTTACAGAAGTACAGATAAGAAACAGAAGAAGGAGTCCTTGAACTTGGCCTGGGAAATTAGAAAGTGTCTGAACAAAGCTGGATGATTGTCATAAGTGGACAAAAGGAGAGCAGCTTTTCAGTGGAGGGTTAACTGGAACAGGATCAGAGAAAAAGATGCTCTGAAGTCAATCCGTCAGGAGTCAGCAAGTAGTCCAATGTGGTGGAGGAGAGGAAGTCCTGGAGGGGAGGGGAGGCCTGGAAAAGCTCACACAGACAAAATGGAAGGGCCATGAATACTTTCCAAGGCAGCATTTTCTAGAGACAAACCCAGGCATCAGATTGAGGAGGATGCTCATACATTCCTAGTGCCTGTCGGGAACAATCACATGGGCAGTCCGGGGGCTACGGGAGGAAGAGCCGTGCATTTAAAGCCAGAGCTTTGGTTCTTTTGAACATTAACGTTTGAGAATGATGTCCAGGACTTTGCTAAACAGCATGAAACAAGGAGGGAGAATATTAAGCAGGATAGTGGCATCATATGCTATAGGTTATGGGATGATATGAGTCTGTTAGAAGCATGAAAGTTAGACTGAGAAGCCAGAGTCAGAGAAGGGAACCTAGCAGAAGGCTCTGACCCCGGACCAGATGATGAGGGTTCAAGGAAGGGCACTGGCAGGGCTTAGGGTCTGGAGGACATGAGGTGTCCAGGGAGTTACAGGGAAAGGGAGCAGGCTTGAGCCTGGCTGCCAGGAATGATGCTGGTGCCACTAAGAGGGTGAGTCTAGGGGAAGACACTGGCCGTGGGGTAAGGCTTGTTTATTTTAGGAGATTGCTCTGAAGGCTGTTGTGGTGTCCAAGTGTGGAGGTCCTGCCTGCTGGGATTCTGCCCCGGACTCTAGCTGGGAGGAGCACACTGGGGTCACAGCAGAAGGAAAGCCCGGGTATACCCGGGTCGGGAAGCCTGAGAGTGGAGCAAGACGGCTATGATCTTGAACACCTAGAAAAAGAAAGGGCAGCCTTCTGGGGGGAAAGGACTTCAGTGGCCTCACAGACACGTGCTTATCCCTCTCCCAGTGGGCTTGGCATGGGGAAGGCACAGTAAAATGAGCTAACCATTTTGTAAACACAGGAAATAGATGCCTTATTCACGTGAAATCTAGTAACTCCTGAATTTCTTTGTTCTTACTGATGCAATGTGGATTGAAACAGATTATTCCTGGTGGTCTTAAAGAAGCAAGCTAGTGTCTGTTAATTGAGTTCTTTTATTGGGGTGAGGGGAGGCTCTGCCTAAGTATAGGATAAGAGGAAGATTAGAAAATTTTTCAAAATGTGGACTCCATACCAGTTTCTTGAATTTGTATGTAAAGGCCACCCCATTTGCCCTGAGCTCCCCCACCTCACCAACCCGTAACCCAGGTCTGCGCCCATCACCTAAGATCTGACCAGAATGCCCCTTGGAGAAAGGAGCGAGCTCTTCTGAGTGAGCTGCCCTTAAGTTTTTGCCATAAAATGATGATACTCTTAGTTCCACTGCAGTGCCTTGCACACACTAGGCACTTAATAAATATTTTTGGATTTGGCTTATGATACTCATGAAATACATTGAAGTATCTTAATCATTTATGACTTATTTGTCAAATTATTCTCTTTTTTCATTTTTAGAGAGAAAGGAAGGTTGAGAGATAGAAAGAGAAATATTCATCAGTTGCCTCCCGTGTGAGTCCCCATCGAGGACCGAACCCTCAAACCAGGTACGTGCCCTGTTGGCAACTGATCCCGTCTCATTTCAGTGCACAGAGCTATGCTCCAACCAACTGAGCCACACTGGCCAGGGCTTTCAAATGACTCTTACTGAGTTATTTTCCCCAGTCATTTCAGGATGTCAAAAAAGGTACAATGAATGGGTGAGAGGTTAATTAAGAAATTAATGTCCACCCAGCCGGTGTGGCTCAGTGAATGCACATTGACCCATGAACCAAGAGGTTGCTGGTTTGATTCCCCATTAGGGCACATGCCCAGGTTGTGGGCCCATCCCTAGTGGGGGGCATGCAGGAGGCAGCCAATTGATGTTCTCTCTCATTAATGTTTCCATCTCTCTCTCCCTCTGAAATCAATAAAGAAAAATAATTTTTTTTAAAGAAAAGAACTAATGTCTGTTTAGACCTTAAATCACAGGGAGGAGCTCTCTGCCCTAATTGCCACTATTTGTCATATAACATAATTTTAACTTCCTCCAATGCACCAATGCACAACTAACCAGGTGACAATGAATTAATAGCAAGCAGATGCTTTTTCAAAGGCTTAGATCTACAAAACATATATTTGAACAGAAAAAGGTCCATAAGCTCTCTAAATATTTTTCAATGAACCTAAACCTCATTCCTGACTTCAGTGTTTGCTTCCTCAGCTCTAGAAGTTATCATTTCTCAAGAAATGACAGGCATCTTTGTTCCTTTGTTTGGTTGTAGTTAATGTTATTTCATTCAGTCAGTTACCATTCTGCAAGCATTTACTGAGAATTAATCATGCTTTAGCCATTGGAGATAATGATCCCTGGGTTTAGGAACTATAAAAATTTGTTTCTTCCCAAGCACACATATACATAAAATCACCCAAAGAAATCAGGCAGGGAAATTAGAGTGGGCGAAATCCATATTAGGCTCACTGTCTAATTTTAATTTGCATTCGACTTCAGGGTAATGCTGGTCTTCTCAATGGAATTTGAGTCTCCAGCAGTCTACAGAAATTTGATTGCTACTAGTGGAAAAGCAGTCTCACTAGTCAGTTAGATTACCATCTTGGAAGAAGCAATCATATTTTCCTAGTAGACAACGCTACTTACAGTTCTCCTAAATTTTTTAATGAAGAAAATGTCTTCTCTGGAACAAAATCAATTTGATTTCTAGGCAGAAACCTGTAAGACATGGTGAGAGTCAGCACTGTTGGGTTGTGTCTGCCGCAGTAACCCGTTCTCTCTGGGACAGGCCATGGATGCAGGTGGGGTTCCCTAAGCCTCTGTGGAAGTCTCGCAGTGAGGTGGACTCTGGTGTGGAAGTAGGGCTGGGCTTTCTCACTGAGACTGTCCACACGTCCTCTCTAGGAAATGCTCTCATAGTAGTTTGAGGTGTTTAGTGTGATCTATAAAACTGCACTTTGTTTGGATTTTCATGATTATAGAATGGGCTTCTTCCCAAATACACATGCATAATATCAGATTTGGACCCTGTAATCATTCTCCCGAAGGCTTGGAGAGGACCCTCGTCTAAGACATGTTCCTTAGGAGAAGGCCAGAAAGAAGAAAGCTTGTAACAATCTCGCAGTAGTTTCTGGGGCCACAACCACATTTTAAATGTGGTGGGTCAGAGTGGTTTTATATTCACTTTGTCTGTAAATGGACTCCTCTAAGGGAAAGGGCAGAAAGTGGGGGTCAGCCGCCACCTGCTTTCCCGAGGTGCTGCATGGGCGATAATGAGTATGAAAGTGACTCAAAAGCTGTTGATGAACTTGGTTGAGCTTTCCAATGTTCTCCCTCATTATCCATGAGAAAGGAAATGCATTCCGTGCATCTCCTGAGCAGGGTAGTCTCTTTGCACATTGAACATGCTTATCTGCATGTGATGGATGAAGGTGCAGCCTGGCAAGTCTTCACTCTTAGTTTGTTGGGAAAAAAGCAGTTACGTGACTACCAATGGACAGACACCCAGTTTTCTTTTCCCATCACTCATCCAACCAACCAGCCAACAGGACTGGTGTTGACTCTATATGGGAAACAATGAATAAAACAAAACCAAAATGCATGTGATTTTGAATTTTCTAGTGCAAATGTGTCAATGAACCAACACATCTGCCTTCCAGCCCCCATAAAAATCATTGTCGGCAATCAGATTAGATTCACCATTGGCCCATCAGAACACAGATTTTTTTTTAATACAATTTAAAAAAATGTTTTTAGAGAGAAAAAGACATCACGTGATAGGTGTCCCTGCAGCAACAACCCCTGGATAGCTAACCACTTTCACATGCATTATCTCATGTCTGAGACCAGGGCTTTAGAAACCAGCTCAGTGGTGGGGGGGGGGGGGCACAGAGATAGTGACTGTCCTCAGAAACAAGGGGAGCAGCAGAAGACCTACATGGTGGCAGCTACAGGCTTGGACCCCTTGGAAATCAATCACAGCATGTGTGCATTTTCTAGCGCTGCAGCTTCAGACCAGGGCTGTAACTAAGATCCTGCTTTAAAGTTCCTTGTCAATATTTTCTTTTGATTTTCAAATCTATTGGGCATGCCCTCATTGACCACAGTCCATGGCATACTTACAGCACAGTGAGCGCATCGCACGACAGAAAGGTGGAATTCGTAAGATACTTTATTCTGTTCCCTTCCAAGTCCCTGAAAGGCATGGAGAAGAAACATTTTGAATATTTTGACACAAATTATATGTCTAGAGGCACTTTTTTTTTGTTTTGTTTTTAAATTAATTAATTTATTTATTTTTATTTATGTTACAGATATTTGTCCTTTTTTACCCCATTGACACCCTCCTCCCCATACCTGCCACCCTGTCACCAGCTTTGTTGTCCATGTCCATTGCTTATGCATACACATATGTAAGTTCTGTGGTTTATCTTTTCCCTCATCCTACCACTCCCTCTTTTGAGGGTTGTCAGTCTGTACCCTATTTCCACATCTCTGGGGCTACCCTATACCTCAGACTGTTACGTTCATTATATTGCACAAATAAGTGAGATCATGTGGTATTTGTCTATTTCAGCTTAGCTTGTTGCGCTTAGGATAATACTTTCTAGGTCCCTCCATGTCATCTCAAAAGATAAGTGATCTTTTGTTCTTACAGCTGCATAATACTCCATTGTGTATATGTACCACTGCTTTTTTATCCATTCGTTTACTGATGAACACTTGGGCTGTTTCTAGATCTCAGATATTGTAAATAGTGCTGCTACAAACATGGGGATACATATGTTCTTTCTGATCGGTGTTTCAGGCTTCTTGAGGTATATTGCTAGAAGTGGGATCACTGGGTCAAATGGCAGTTCAATTTTGAAATTTTGGGGGGAACACCATAGTGTTTTCCATAGTGGATGCACCAGTCTGAATTCCCACCAGCAGTGTACTAGAGTCCCCTTTTCTCCACACCCTCGCCAACACTTGTTTGATGATTTGTTGATGGTGGCCATTCTGACAGGTGTGAGGTGATACCTCATTGTTGCTTTAATTTGCATCTCTCTGATAATTAGGGATGATGAGCATTTCTTCATATGTCTCTTAGCCATTTGTATGTCTTGTTTGGAAAGTTGTCTATTTAGTTCCTCTGCTCATTTTTTTAATTGAATTATTTGTCTTCCTTTTATTGAGTTGTATGAGCATTCTATATATATTGGAAATTCACCCCTTATCTGATATATCATTGGCAATTATGCTCTCCCATACAGTGGGTAGCCTTTCCGTTTTGATGATTGTATGTTTCGCTGTGCAGAAGCTTTTGAGTTTGATGTAGTCCAATGTGTTCATTTTCTCCTTTGTTTCTGTTGCCTTAGGTGATATATCAGTGAAAATTCTGCTGCGTATGATGTCTGAAATTTTGTTGCCTACAGTGTCTTCTGGATTTTTATGGATTCATGAGTCACAGTTAAGTCTTTTATCCATCTTGAGTTTATTCTTGTGTAGGGTATAAGTTGATGGTCTAGTTTCATTTTTCTGCATGTAGCTGTCCAATTTTCCCAGCACCATTTATTAAAGAGGCTTTCCTTACTCCACTATATGCTCTTGCCACCTTTGTCAAATATTAATTGAGCATATTGCCTTGGGTCGATTTCTGGGTTCTCTGTTCTGTTCCACTGGTCTAAATGCCTGTTCTTGTGTCAGACCAGGCTGTTTTGATTACAGTGGCTTTGTAGTATAAACTGAAATCTGGTAATGTGATTCCCTCCAACTTTGTTTTTCCTTTTCAAGATTGCTATGGCTATTTGAGGTATTTTTTGGTTCCATATAAACTTTTGAAGTAATTGTTCTAATTCTGTGAAGTATGCCATTGGTATTTTGATGGGGATTGCATTGAATCTATAGATTGCTTTGGGTAATATGGGCATTTTAATGATGTTAATTCTTCCAATCCATGAACGGGGTATGTGCTTCCACTTTTTTATATCTTCCTTTATTTCTTTTTTCAATGACCTGTAGTATTCCGTGAATAGGTCCTTTATTTCGTTGGTTAAGTTTATTCCTAGGTATCTTAATTTTTTTGTCACAATGGTAAATGGGATTGTTTTCTTAGTTTCTCTTTCTGTGAGTTCATCATTGGTGTATAAGAATGCCATCCATTTTTTGACATTAATTTTGAATCCTGCTACTTTGCCAAATTCATTTATTAAGTATAGTAAACTTTTGTGGAGTCTTTGGGGTTTTCTACATATAGTATCATGTCATCTGCAAATAATGACAGTTTTACTCCCTCTTTTCGAATTTGGATCCCTTTTATTTTTTCTTCCCGTTTGATTGCTGTGGCTAAGACATCCAGTACTATTTTAAAAAAGAGTGGTGAAAGTGGGCATCCTTGCCTTGTTCCTATTATTAAGAGAAAAGCTCTTTGTTTTTGCCCATTGAGTATGATGTTGGCTGTAGGTCTTTCATATATGGCCTTTATTATATCTAGATATGATCCCTCTATTCCCACATTGATGAGTGTTTTTATCAGAAATAGATGCTGGATTTTGTCAAAGCTTTTTCGGCATCTATTGATATGCTCATGTGGTTTTTATTCTTCATTTTATTTATGTGGTGTATCACGTTTATTGATTTGCGAATCTTGTACCAGCCTTGCATCCCTGGGATGAGTCCCACTTGGTCATGGTGGATAATTTTTTTGGTGTATTGCTGGATCCGATTTCCTAGTATTTTGTTCAAGATTTTGGCATGTTCATCCGGGATATTGGCGTGTAGTTTTCTTTCTTTGTTGTGTCCTTATCTGGTTTTGGAATTAGAATTATGCTGGCTTCATACAATGAGTTTGGAAGTTTTCCTTCATCTTGAATTTTTTGAAATAGTTTGAGGAGAATGGATGTTAGTTGTTCTTTGAATGATTGGTAAAACTTCCCCTCCAAGCCATCCGGGCCTGGGCTTTTGTTTGCTGGGAGAGTCTTGATTACATCTTCAATTTCTTATGTTGTTATTGGTCTGTTCAATTGTTCTATCTCTTCCTGGTCCAGTTTTGGGAGACTATGTGTTTCTAAAAATTTGTCCATTTCGCTTAGATTGTCGAATTTTTTGCCATATAATTGTTCATAGTAGTTTTTAATGACCTTTTGTATTTCTGTGGTGTCAGTTGTTACTTCTCTTCTTTTATTTCTGATTTTGTGTATTTGGGTTTTCTCTCTTTGTTTCTTGGCGAGTCTAGCTAAGGGTCCATCACTCTTGTTTATCTTTTCGAAAAACCAGTTCTTTATTTCATTGATCCTTTGAATTGTTTTTTGGTCTCTATGTTGTTTGTTTCTGCTCTGATCCTTACTATTTCCTTCCTCCTACTTGCTCTGGGGTTTTCTTTTTTTTACTCCCTAGTTCTTTAAGTTGTAAGGTTAGATAGTCTATTAGAGATTTTTCTTGTTTTTTGAGGTAGGCCTGTAGTGCTATGAACTTCCCTCTCAGAAATGCTTTTGCTGTGTCCCATAGATTTTGTGTTATTGTGTCTTCATTTTCATTGGTTTTCAGAAAGTTTTTTATTTCTTCCTTGATCTCCTTTGTGACCCATTCATTGTTTAATAACATGCTATTTAGCTTCAATGTGCTCAAATGTTTTTGTATGTTCTTCTTGCAATTGATTTCTAGTTTCATGCTATTGTGATCTGAGAAGATGCTTGATATGATTTCAGTCTTCTTGAACTTGTAGAGACTTAGTTTGTGCCCTAACATGTGGTCTATCTTTGAGAATGTCCCATGTGCACTTGAGAAGAACGTGAATTCTGTAGTTTTGGGGTGTAATTCTCTGTAGATATCTATTAAATCCATTTGGTCTAGTGCTTCATTTTGAGTCTCTGTTTCCTAGCTAATTTTTTATCTAGAGGATCTATCCAGTGATGTCAGTGGGGTGTTGAAGTCCCCTGCTATGATTGTATTGCTATTGATTTCTCCTTGGAAGCCCTTCAGAAGATTTTTAATATATTTTGGTGATCCTATATTGGGTGCATATATGTTTATCAAGGTTATATCTTCCTGTTGGATAGATCCTTTCAATATTATGTAGTGGCCTTCTTTGTCTCTAGTTATGGCCTTCATTTTGAAATCTATTTGATCAGATATGAGTATTGCTACCCCAGCCTTTTTTTTCTTTCTGTTTGCTTGGAAGATTTTTTTCCATCCCTTTACTTTCTTTTTTTTTTTTATCCTCACCTGAGGATATTTTTCCATTTTTTGTACAGATAGAGTGGGAGGGAGAGAGAGGAAGGGAGAGAGAGAAACATCGACGTGAAGGGACACATCGAGTGGCTGCCACCCGCACGACCAACCAGGGCCGGGGACAAACTGCAACCGAAGTACGTGCCCTTAGCGGGAACCAAAGCCGGGTCTCTCCCGACCGCAGGCCGACGCTCTAACCGCTGAGCCAAACTGGCCAGGGCTCCATCCCTTTACTTTCAATCTATGTGAATCTTTTGTTGTGGGGTGGGTCTTTTGTAAACAATATATAGATGAGTCATGCTTTCTTATCCAATCAGCTACTCTGTGTCTTTTTATGGGAGCATTCAAGCCATTTACATTTAAGGTGATTATTGATATGTACTTATTTATTGCCATTTTTGTTTAGTGTGGTCCTATTTTTTTCCCATTTCTCCTGCTAATTACAGCAGTCCTTTTAACATTTCTTGCAGTGCTGGTTTGGTGCTAATGTATTCCCTTAGCCTTTTTTTTTGTCTGAGAAGCTCTTTATTTGACTTTCTATTTTGAATGATAGCCTTGCTGGTTAGAGTAGTCTTGGATTCAGATCTTTGTTTTTCATGACCTTGATTACTTCATGCCATTCCCTTCTGGCCTGTAGTGTTTCTGTTGAGAAGTCAGCTGAGAGCCTTATGGTGTTTCCTTTGTAGGTAACCTGTTGCTTATCTCTTGCTGCTTTTAGCATTCTCTCTTGGTCTTTAATATTTGGCAGTTTGATTACTATGTGTCTTGGAATGGACCTGTTTGGGTTTTTCTTACTTGGGGCTCTCTGTGCTTCTTGAACTTGAATGCCTTCTTTCTTCACCAAATTAGGAAAATCTTCTGTCACTATTTCTTTGAATATATTCTCTAACCCTTGCTCATTTCCTTCTTCTTTGGGGACTCCTATGATGCAAATATTATTACTTTTCCAGTTGTCCCACAGTTCTCTTAATCTGTCTTCCTGTTTTTAAATAGTTTTTTTCCTTTTGGTTTTCTGATTTTTTTCTACCCTGTTTTCTAATTCACTGATCTGGTCCTCAGCTTCCTCTACTCTGCTTTTTAGACCCTCCAATGTGTTTTTCATTTCTGATATGTCATTTTTTATCTCTTCTTGGTGGTTTTTAAATTCCAATTGGCTTATTTTTAGCATCTCTATGTCCTTACGCATGCTGTTCAGCTTCCTCAAGATCATGGCTCTGAATTCTAGTTCTGTTAACTTGCTTAACTGTTCCTCATTTATCTCATCTTTGGTAGAGGTCTCTTGTTCTTTCATTTGGCTTTTGTTTCTGTTTTTCACCATTTTGGCTATCACAGTGGGCTCTGGAGTCTGCCAAATTTTCCCTGTGGGTGTTGGTGTTCTGCTGTTTGTGGCTCCCTCTTCTGGGTTTGGATGAGGCAGGGCGGACCCACTTTGAACACCACTGTCAAGTCTTAACTTTGCTGGTTAGAGTTGCTAGCCCAGGGAATGGTAGTTATCCTCTAGCTTTTTTTGCCTTGAGGCTATTTGTAGAGGTCACCTGAAGACCCTTGGTTTCTGAGTTGCCTGAAAAACTCCCTCAGGTGCTCAGTGTAAGAGGATTTCCCGAGGTGGGGCAGATGCTGGTTGTTAATGGGCCTCAATTAGCATTTCAATAGCCAACAGGTGGGGTTGAATCTCCAAGGGAGGGGCCGCCGCCTCTCCCCAGGGCCCTGGAAGGAGTAAGATGACCACAGTCCTGTGTGGCTGTACTCAGCAAAAGCTCTGAGCACCCTCCAAATCCCGAGTGTCCCCACACAGTTCCAGTCCAGTCTGCCTTCCCTCTGCCGGACCCCAAGTTGAGTGGCTGCTGCCAATTTAGCCTCTGTCCAGACTCTGCGTCGTGGAGCCCCCTGGGAGTTTTAACCCGAGGGCGCTGCTTCCAGCCAAGGGTGGCTGAGGCTGTGACACCATCTGAGGGCGTAGCACCCAGCTGAGTTCGCAGGACCCAGCCGAGGGCATAGCACCCAGCGGAGGCCACAGGACCCAGCTACGGTCGCGGGAGGCAGCCAAGGCGACAGCAGCTTCCAGCCGAGTCCCCTGGTCCCAGCCCAAGCCGCTGCGGACCATGGGCTCCCGGCCCCCTCTCGCATCCTCGCAAGCCTACCAGGATTGAATCAGTGTCCCTGGTTATGTGGTCCCCCAATCTGCCTTTAGGTTGCCCTTTCCTGATGATTTGTCTTTATTTGCATTGTAAATCCAGTTTGGTCCTGGGAGATGGTCTGTGTAGCTTCCATTCACTCTGCTGCCATTTTTCTCTCCCCTCTAGAGGCACTTTTTTTTTTAATATAACTGTTCTGAGTTTTAATTTTACTTTGTTCCAATTTTCATGCTTCCCTCGTAATTATTGCAGGGTTAGTATGATTCATAGTATGCTTCTTTTCTCCTTTTAACTGATGTTAGAATTGAATAAAATTGAGGAAAGGGCGGCCCAACATTTAGTAATTGTTAGTGCTGTATAACATGCTAGTAATCATCCTAATATTGCCCCATAATATCAGTAGCTACCATTTACTGGACTTGTACGCTGTCAGGTACTGCTCTGAGCACAGAAGTTGGGAGGTGACTGCTGGTGCATGTGGAAGGAAGGCATACTAAGAACAAGGCAGGGAGAGAGACCAGATGGGTGAAGCCGGGAAGACGATGGGACCCTAGTGCTCAAGGGGGAAGTATGAACTTTACCCTCATACCCATTGGAATTCTCAAAAGATTTTAAACCAAAAAGTAACAGGATCAGATTTTGGTTTTGGAGAGATGAGCATAGATGGATATTTAATATAATTGTGAATAAACCTCAGGGCTAGTTTCCTTAATCTGTGCAAATAACAAACCAAGGCCTACATGCGTACTCACATCCAGTTTAGTTGAGGCACCTGGACACACATCTGCTTGGGAAGGGCTTCTAAGCAGTTATTAACCATAGACCTTTACACAGAAAAAGATGTTAATTAATGTCGTACACCTGGAACTAGTGTAACCAATATAAGATTGTAGACTAACTATTCTTAAATTAAAAAATAAAACTTTAAAAAAGAAACAACAGTATGCCACTTTAAGAACAGTTTTTAGTATTTCTGCAGTGTGGAAACATGTATGCTAAAATTGATATGTTAGGATGAAGACTAAATATAATTTCCTCTTCCAAATACTGTCTAGATATGTGCATGACATGGAAAAGGGACTCATGTTGAAGAAACTAGAAATGTATCAGCATGACCTATAACTGAGAAATAAATAGTTTACAGTTTAATTTCATGAGATGAAACAAAATATATAGGTGATAATTTTGAAGTTCATGATAATTTTTCTTGTGAACTGCAAATTTGCAATCATTTCCAGCATCGCACATCCAAAGATCCTTCTTAAGGGAAACATTAATCATGTACATAGTAAAGAGTCACATGGGATCCAGCCTGTAGGGGACCTTTGGGCAAAGAAAACAACTCATGGGCAAGTGAAGCTGCTCAGTGAATTTGAGTTATTGTGGTTCCTGCTGACCGATGGAGAAGTGATGATGTTACATGAGTAACTGCAAAGGGACAAGATAGGCCTGGGCTGATAGGTCCTCCTACTCTATTATTAATCAGTGACAATGTAATTATTGTCATGAGGACAAAGATTTTGGCAATTTCAGTAACTCTTGCTGGGTAGAGGCATATTCCCACTGTTAGTGTAGTTGGGGCTAAACTCCTAGGAGAGTCTATCCAATGTAAATGTAGTTAGAAGATAGCTCTGGCCAGTGAGTTCAGTGGTTAGAGCATCCGCTCGCGCACCAAAGGGTCGTGGGTTTGATTTTCAGTCAAGAACACATACCTGGGCTGCAGGTTCAACCCTGGCCCTGAACGGGGAGAGTGTAGGAGGCAACCAATTGATGTGTTTATCTCACATTGAAATTTCTCTCTCTCCCTTTCTTTCTTATTATAAATCCAAGGAGAAATATTCTCAGGTGAAGATTAACAAAAATAAAATGTAGTTAGAAGATAAAAATGAACATTTGGTCAACCACTGCAAATACGAACATGCCTTAGGAATAAAAGAAATGAAAGAAGATCCAAAATAAATCAACTGATCGGCTAGAAATATACCTGAGCCCTGGCCAGGAAGTAGCGACAGTAATTGTGACTGGAAATACAGAAGAGGTTTTGGCTAATAAAAATTAGCTAGTGGGCTTTTTTTTTTTCTCAAGTTCTTTTTGTTAACTGGTGTCAGATGTCATTGCGATGTGTAGACAGATGTGTTGAAGGGAGATGAATACTTACAGGAAAAACAAGGAATTTAATCCAGTGAATAGCTGCTGTGAAATGCTGGTTATTGGATTGTCATCCAGAATTCTGACAAAACACATCACAAGCATTTCCAATGTCAGAGACATGTTTGAAGCAAAACCAGGAAGAATTACAAGGCCCGTGACAATCCTGCCTTCACCCAACACCTGCTGTCTCCCTTCCTGTTTCTTCACACTGGGCTCACTCCCTCCCTGGAGAGATTTCCCCTCACATTGTGGACAAGGCAGCTCTTTCACCAAGAGCCCATCCCAGCAGGGAGAAAGCCTATCTTGGTGGCCTTAGGAACCCGAGTTTTACCCTTCACCTCTGGTCTCGTGGGTCCCACACAAGCTGCTCTTGTTATTTATTGGTTCACTTGGAATCCCTAAATGCTGTGACCCACTCCTTGACTAAAGAATGAATTAATGGAAAAAAAGCTTTTAGGAAACCACACATGGTTTCATAGGCTCACAGTGTTTACATGACGTACTTAACAATGTTTGTAGCAACAAACTCTTCAAGTGCGTAGAGGGTGAAAGAATGAAAATATCTACATATTCAAATTGCTGTTTTTAAGTACATCTGGTATTTCCTAGAGGGAACCCTTCCTTCCTTTCTCCTGTTGCACTGAGGTTAGGTACCATTTCTTCTTATTCCCAGAGGTCCTTGAGGGTCTGGAGAAGGGAGCGACATGGAGCACCTACCCTATGCCAGGGGCAATGACTGAGGCCCTTCACACATGTTATGGGAGCCAGTCCTCACAACATGGCTCTGGAGAAGGAATTATGATTTCAGCGAACAGGTGAGGAAATGATTAAGAAAGTCACCTGCAACATTAAGCCTGGGGCCCCAGTGCACACAGGGTGTGGATGAAGCTGAGGCCTCGCTCTTTCCATGAGACCAGGCTGACCTATGAAAATGAGCACAGACACAGCCCTTCTCACTGCCCTTTGCTCATTTTCCTGATGAAACATAGACGTTGACGTCAGACCCCTTGCGGCGAGGCTCTGGCTCACTTGGAAAGTGGTAACACCCACCAACCACCCTGCATCAGGCTTTCCTATGAATGCTCTGGAAACCCAAACAGTCCTTAACTTGCTTACTTTCTAGGTCAGTGATTTTCCATGAGGACACTTTCTCTCCCAGGTGACATTTGGGAGTGTCTGGACACATGTTTGGTTGTCATACTCTGGGGGCAAGAACTACTGGCGTCTAGTGAGGTAGAGGCCACAGAGGTGGTTAAATGTCCTAATACATACAGGACATCCCCCATCTCCCTATCAGAGACTTATCTGGGGCCAAATGCCAGTATTTTTGAGGTGAGAATCGTGGCCACAGGTGAACCCTGGGCAGATAGAAGCCTTCACAAGGCCGGGCCTGGGCTCGGAAGGCCTCGGAGAGCACATGACACCAGCTTTTCCCTCACAGCTGCCTCAGCGCGTATCTGAGCTGCTTGGGTAAAGTGCTCCAGATTACGTGACAACTGGAAAGAAAAGTATAGTAAACACGACACACAAATAGATGGCACTGTGCACACTGACAGGTATCGTTAGGACCGGGGTCCTTTCCGGGGCCAGAAACGCCGGAACACTTACAGCCAAGCCAGCTGGTGTAGGTCCTTGAACAGCCCAGGCCTGAGGGCGGTGATGCAGTTGTGGCTGAGATATCTGCGAACAGCATGCAGTTCCATACATTAGACTATGAGCCACTGGTGATAACCATGAAGATGGGCATTTTCTTGAGGGGGAAATGCTGCCCAGAGGGGCAATACAGGTGATACCGGGGGACACAGATAACCACAAGCCCAGTGTGTGCAACACTGTGGTCAGGACTAGGACAGTGGCCCAGCATAGTGTGTTGGGATGTTTTGTTACAAAATAAGAGTAGAATAAATATTGGGGAGGGGGTGATTTTTGCACTTGTCCTTTTTGGTCACATCCTTAGTAGACCAGCATTTTAAGAAAGCATATGGGTAAGTTAGAATGGGTCAGAAAAAATAAAATGCTAAAATATTGTGGAAATGATCCCAACTTGAGTTCAAGGTTAAGGAGAGCCTCCATCTCTGTCTTCTGTTAAAGCTAGAACCTTTCATAATTCTTTCAGTGTAGTAACTTATCTAAGCACTTTGGAATAACCTAGCTTCTCGTTTCTCTACAATTAAGTCAAACCTTTCAAACGTACCATTCTATCTTTTTAATCCCTACTTAAACTTGTGCTAAGAGTACAATTATGAAAAGGTTACTCACAGTATTTGCAGGTTATGTAATCCAACAAATGCTTTCCTGGATATGTGTCTGATGCAGTTATGCTGAAGGAATCTGTGGGAAGAAGATAGAAGAGTCACATGACTGTGGTTTGTGTGCTTCATCAGGTTGTTGAATATGTGATCCACTCTTTTTTCTAAAGACATTGGTGAACTTGGGTTATGACATCCCCAGTCTCCCTCCCACACGAGGAGGTGAAGGCGTTGCCAAGGACGGAAGGCAGTGAACCTGGCCGATGCCTGCTGACCCTGCAGCACCCATGCAGTGGGGCTGGGGCGTCTCTGGCTTGTACCAGTGAACTCTGGTGTGACATGCGGAGGGAACTTGTTTCTGCAAAGGGGGGCCATGCCAGCCAGCTCTCCTGCTCTGACCTGCAGGGGTGCTCATCATGGGAAACCAGCCAAGTTCCACCTCAGGCTCCTCATTTCTTTTTGTTCTTTTCCCACGAGAAGAAGAAGAGGGCCAATTTTGTTCTTTTCTATGTTGAGGTGCAGAGGGAGAAGCACAGGGCAAGTTGACAAGGTGCCCGAGGTTCAACTCACAGGTCACGATTTACTTAACCTCCGGAGCAATTTAGCAATTTAGTATGGATTCAATAAGAGCATTGTCAGGAGTATCTAAGTAAATAATCTCCATTTCCTGCACTCATTATACAACGAGAGGTTAGCCTTGAATTCATATTTACCAAAGGTCTTTAGGGGCAGAAAATATATACACAAATAATAGTAACTAATGGCTACGTGGTCTATTAAATAGCTTCTTTAGCTCTTATTTGGGCTTGATTTGGTTTCTAAAATATTACACAACACTTTTTAAATTGTTATAATACTTCACTGCCAAACTGTTGGTAAGACACGTACTCACTGGGATCTTAGCTGTACTCTGAATCTGCTTATACCACAGTTATTACCTAGCAAAGCCTGTGAGTCACAAATGTGTCATGGGTGTGCTAGGATATTGATGCCCTCAACCCTCTGGGTAGCTAGGTCAAGTCAAGATCAGCTTCCAGTTATCAATAAAACCCAGCGTTCCCCGAATGTTGGACAAAGATTGTCATTTTCCCCATGTGGAAAAGGTTGGCACTACAGAGCACATGCTTTACATCCATAATGATACACAAAACATGAATTTCAATCCTACAAAGTAAATCTGAAACCTGGTGAGACTGGGTGGCAGTCCAATGCCCCCTCCCCTGCACCATTTCTGTGAGGAGACCCTTCACAGTGCAGCATAAATTCTGCTTTTGGTTTATTCTATGAGCCCGGCCAGTGTGGCTCAGTTGATTATCCCATGCACTGGGAGGTCACAGGTTCGATTCCTGGTCAGGGCACATGCCAGGGTTGGGGCTCGATCCCCAGGGGTGGAATGTGCAGGAAGCGGTCGATGGATGTTCTCTCTCATGGATGTTTCTCTCTGTCTCTTCATTTCCCTCTACCTCTCTCTAAAACCAATAAAAACATATTTAAAAATTCTTGTATGAATAGAATGAGCCCAAACAGATCACTATCTGTTGCAGCATTTTATGAGCCCTTGAAGTGATGTAATGAAAGTCAGTCTGATAAATTATGTTATGATAGCAAATAAAAATAGAAAAAGAATATAATACTATAGTATGGGCATGTTCAAGTTCCTCTTAAATATAAAATTTACCGCCTAACTGGTTCTATTTACATTTTTAAAAAAATTTTTACTGAGAATATTTTTTTTCTTTGATCTTCAGATAGAGTGAGAGAAAGGGAGGAAGAGAGAGAGAAACATTGACGTGAAAGGGACTCATCAAGTGGGCGCCTCCCGCACGACCCCAACCAGGGCTGGGGACATTTCACAACTGAGGTACGTGCCCTTTGCCAGAATTGAACCTGTGACTCTTTAATCCACTGGCTGATGCTCTAACCACTGAACAAAAATGGCCAGGGCTCTATTTACATTTTATCTGTGATCATTTACTCAAAAAGGCAATGCACAATTTACCCACATGTTGTCAATCTTGAAGACATGAGTGCAGTCATGAATTGTGCTTTCATTTATTTATTTTAATCCTCACCCAAGGGTATGAGAAAGAGAGAAGCATCGATGTGAAAGAGAAACATCAATCCCATTATCTCCCATATGCTCCTTGACCAGGGATCTGGCTGGCAGCGTAGGTATGTGCCCTGACCCGGAAACAAACGTGCAACCTTCTGGTATACCGGGTGATGCTCCACTGACTGGACCACGGCCAGCACTTGACCTTGTGCTTCTGAGCTGCATAACTCACCAGATGTATGCAGCCCACCTGCCTTCACTGCCAAGAGGTAAGACTCCAACTCTGGACGTAACAAGGAGCTTCTAGTCGATTAGTCTGCTCGCTGGCTCTCCAGAGCGGACTGGGGTCCCAAGTGCCCTGTCTCACTCAGGTGCTAAATTTTAACTTGATCCTCTAATATCCACTCAATTTGCAGAATACTAGCTTGGTGAATATCCAGGGAAATTTGGAAACATAGCGATTTGGCAAGTAGTGTTCTCTTTTTAGTCAGAGTGAAGATAGGAGTCCATTTAAAATACTTCATGTTGAACAGCTTTTCTAAGAATAACTTACTGGTTCATGAATTCCTGCTGTTTCCGCTGTCAGGAGTTTTCAAGCAGAAACATCAGGAATTTATGTACCTGAAACTAAAGCAAATATATGCTTCAATGACATGCATGTTTATAGGCTATTTTTTTTTAACGCAACATGGTAGATTCATGAGCCTGGTGACTCACTGAATTTCATTTGTTGCCAATGATTGCCTTGAACAAGAACCAGCTCAAGAAGGAATTCCTAAATTATATAAGGCTTGTGTTACAACGAGGAAGAGAATGGCTGGTGGTTTCCACGGTAGCAGTGAGAAAATATTCTAGTCAGTCTCATAAATTCTACTTTATTTTTCCGAAGGGTCGTCTTAAATTGTTTCTTCCCAAAGTTAGAAAGCCTTGATATTTTTAAACATTAAAATAAATAAACAAATCAATACAAAAGCATACAGACAAGTTGAGCAACACTTACTCGCCTGGCAATTAAAGTTTCACTTTGCGTGAGGAGTTCATTCTTCTGGATGTTTAAATGACCTCGTCTCCACTGTGAACACTTAGAGTGTTTCAGACCAGAGAGACTCACTTAATGTTGAACTTGCTATTTCCTAGGATATATTCCAAAACAACTTAAGAATGAGTATGAACTTTAACTCAAAACCATCTAAAGCACAAATTTATACGTGCCCTCGCCCTGGTCAGACAGAATGAAACTCAGATTCTGTAGCCTGGCATTCAAAGGCCCTACAATCGTGATTCAGTGATCTCTCCAGCATATGCGCCATTGTTTCCCGTGGACAACTGCCCTGGTCACTCTCTTCCCGATATCCTTTGTGCTTCTGCTTCTGCTAGCTGGTCTCCCTGCTGGAGATGCTCCCCACCTCTCCTTCGTCCTACCTGTCGTTCCTGCACGCGTTCCCTCAACAAGTACTCATTGCTCTTCACGCATGTTTCAACCCATGCAGCAGTGAGGGGTGGTGGCGGCGGTGGTACCTCATACATGCGAGAACCAGAAGGACCATCCAGCTCGGGGGAGGGAATGCTGGTCGGTGAGGGCTTTCTTCAAAACCCAAGGATGAATGGGAGGGGTTACAGAAATAGAATCAACGCTGAAAAATGACCTGACACGTTCTGAACTCAGACAGTGAGGAATACTGTGGGCAATCAATGTATTTCTAGTTATAGTTTAGGCATAAGAAAATGTTAGGGAAAACTCAACTCCTACCTAGCTCCTGTCTTCTCAATGAAGATGATGGCAGACTGAAGGGAGTAGAAGGGATAGAGGGCAGGAGACACGAAAGCCTAAGATGTAGAACATGCTAATCAAAATCAGTTCACGTCCTATGATTTGGAAGATTTCTCCTCGAAACGGAGAAGCACGGAAATGAGAACAGCAAGTCATGATCAATTACTGAGGAATCTGGACAAAGGAGCAGCAGTTGGAAAATTAAAGACGGCAAATGCAATTTTGATTTTTCAGAAAGAGAAGCAGTAGATTTCATAAGCAGCAATTGACGGGCTGGATGTTGGTTCTGGGAGAGAGGCAAGGACAAGCTGTCACAGGCCTGCTTTGTCAGCGCCTCAGCGAGAGGGGACAGGCTAGTTCAGGAGGAACAGGACAGGCAGACCAACTTGGTTTTCTTTGAGAGAGTGATCAGACAACAGTGTGTGGTCAACACTGCTGATGTGTTTACCAGGCGCTGACAGAGTGGCTTTATAATGTTTTTATGGACAAAAATAAAGATACACACTTTCTGAAGGATGATGGTGAAGGGGTCTTGGAAGACAATTGTCCTTTTTAGAATTTTATTCCATGACGTGGGTAAAGATGGTTCATCTTATTTTCAAATGACAGAATGCTGGGAGGAACAGTGAATGATGGTGGATGGTCCAGAAAGACCTTCACACCTGGTAAGAAAAGCTGAATCCAGCGGCAGGAGACTGGGCAGGGATGCGCGGAGGGACCCAGCAGCTCGCAAACCCTGGCCGCACCCGACACAGACTTGGGAACTTCCGAGAACAGATCCCTGGGGGTCAAGGGTATGAAGTAGCCACCAAAACAGCAAGTGTGCTTTTAGCGCCTGTGGAGTTTCGAAGGGAAGTGCGTGTTGCCGGCTCCCTCCGTTCTGCCCTGCAGCCGCCGATCCTGTTGTTCGTTCTCAGTGCTGCACACCAGGCGGGTGTGAGCCGATGGGCACAGACCCGCAACCGGCCTCCTGGGGAAGGACCGCGGTGTCCAGGCTGCTTGCAGAAAGGACGCGCGGCGGGCTGCAGGGTGACTGCCACACTTAGACATGTGAGAGGCACGGGGAAGGCCACCGGGAGAGCGCCTGTCAGTCCCCGGGGAGTCTCAGAACAGGGGCGCCTTGGAGATGCCAGGGCAGGGAGAGGGTTAGGAGGCAGGACAGAGTTTATTAGCTTATTGCTCGAAACCCTTTCCCTCCGGGCCCGTTAGTTGCCTTCCTGGTTTACTGTTCTCCACAGCCCAGTCACCATCTAGCACACTCTGTATTTTCTCATCCACCTTCCTCCATGGGGGTTACGCTCCGTGAGGAGAGGGCTTTTCACGGGTGTTTTCTGCTGTATCTTCAGAGCCTGGCACCTCACAGGTATCAACACAGATTTGTTGAGAGAATGAATGACCGTGGGGGGCTGGCATCTTCTCTCCTGCTGCCGGCTACCAGGAGCTCGGGGTGTCCCCCGGGGGTCTTCTTGGCCTCGGGATGGTTTGGGTTTTGTACTTTGGTTGTGGAGGCTATGGGAATGCAGAATCGGGAAGAAAAGCTAGGAGCAGAAGGACCGGAGGGTCAAGGGCTTGCCTGAGCCCGGGCGAGACTTCTGGGAGTTCAGGAGAAGGTGTGAGGAAAGGAGGGAGAGAGGTTTCAAGGAAGGATTGCCGAGCTTATGAGCTGCTGCAGGGTGTCCGAATAATGCTTGTAAAGAACCCGCATTACCTGGAAATTAGAGTTTGGTCACTGGACGTTTTCATCGATCATAGCAATGTTCTGAGACCAGACTGTGTCAGTGAACTTCCAAACGACCACAGTCAGAGGTTTGGCTTTGAGGCCAAGCTCAATACTTGCCAACGGACGGACTTTGGGCAAATGGCCTCCCTTCTCCAAGGGCGGGTCTCCCTGTTTCTGAAGGGAATCCAATGGTATCTGCCCTACCTGACAGACTCTGAGGATCAAACTCCAAATCAGAGTCCCAAGTGCTGGAACTCTTTCTCAATTTTAAAAAGTGATATACAAACATAAGGAATTGTGCTTATCCCCTGCGCTGTCCCTTGCATATAACAGACACTTAGTGCATGATTCTTGGTGGGAGTCTTATCATCTCTGTTGTCTGGGTCTCGGGGCGGGCGGATCATTTTGCCAAGAGAGCATCAAATAACTTGCACCAGGAGAACCCCTGCTGGGAGATGTCAGGTTGTGATGTTGTACTAACTTTTCTCGGACGAAGTCGAGTCAAACATTTACTTGGAGAAGTTTCCAGCTGATCTGGGCCATTAACATTGATTTCTACTTCTTTCACTAAGAAAAACCGGAGTCTGACTGATCAAAGCTAGTTCTTCCATATTCTTCTCTTCAGTGGGCTAGCAGACACCACAAGGGATAAGTATTGATGTAGAAAAAAGCTATGGCTCAGTGGTCCAGGAAAGAACTTATCTTGAGAAGTCTAATTGTAATTCTCTTTGCTTGATCCTCCAGTCATCTCTCTGCCCCCCCCACCCCCGAAGTTAGCTTCCCTCAAATTATGAGACAACAGGTATAGGGAGGGAGTTCTGCATGGGGCAGGACAGATCGTGTTGGTAGAAGATCCAGTTAGATGCTAGGACAATTCTATCTTGAGATTTCTGGTTATTATAAAATAAACACTGTACTGAGCATCAGAGGAGATGGGCTCTAATTCTGGCTTTTCCATGAACTAGTTGTAGATCTAGGTAAGTGATTTAACCACCGCAGACTGTAGTACATTACCTTATGAATAATAAGATTTTATTAGAAATTCATAAAACTTGCTCTGACTCTAGATAACAAAATTGAGACGGCTGCTCTAAAGCATGAATCTTTTCCTTTCCTTTCTGCCAGAGCCTTATTCCGGCAGCCCGGGGACGTTACTGATCCTTGGAATGAACAAGCTGGGATTCTAAGAATTTCTGGAGGACTGCTTCTAGAGTCTGGAACCCAGAACCCAGGCGTAGCTGCTCCTGGGGGTGAGGACCATGTGACCGCAAGCTCCAGGATGAGGCCGCAGGTCCTGGCAGCAGACGGGATTTCCAGAGGCTGTGATCTAACCCCAGCGTGGTTACCATGGCCACACAAGGTCCTGCCTCCCTTCAGCGACTTCCTTTCTCGAATGAGGAATTCTGGACCCACTTTCACAAACAGCACAGAACTGTTGATGGTGTTTCAAACCAAGTGTGTTTGTTCAGTATCAGCAAAGGATCAGATGATGTTTATTCCTAGATTTTAACATATTTTACAGTTCTGGAAACTTTTCCTCCATGCTGAATGCTAAAGAACCAAACAATTAGATGATGGTACTGCCGAGGGCCCCTACGGCATTACCTTACAAGTTACACTTATTTATGATCTATCTTTATTGTTGAAAGTACTACAGATGTCCCCCCCCCATTACCCTCCACTGCATTGACCCTCTCCACCCCACTCCTGCACCCACCCAGGCCCTCACTGCACTACTGTCTGTGTCCATTGGCTCTGAATATATGCATGTAGTTCTTTGGCTAATCCCTTCTCACCCCTTCCCTCCTTCCCTCTGAGGTCTGTCAGTCTGTTCCATATTTCCATGTCTCTGGACCTATTTTGTTCATCAGTTTATTTTGTTCATTAAATTCTACATATAAGTGAGATCATACAATACTTGTCTTTGTCTAACTGGCTTATTTGATTAGTGTAACACTCTCCGGGTCCCTCCATGCTGTTGAAAGGGGTGAGTCTAAAGATCACCCTGTGGCAAGTGTCAAACTCGATCTCTTCGTCATCCCAGAGTGACAGGCTCAGAGGGACTGACACACAGCTATCAAGCCCTCAGGTTGAATATTCCCAGTTTCTTTATTCAAAGAAATGTTGCCCCATTACACTCATGGGAGTGCTCTTAGTCCTTATCCAAGGAAACTTCTCAAGTACTTCAGCATGAGTTACTTGGGAAGTTAATGTAGTCATGAAAGGTGGCTTGTTGAACAAAGCAAAGGTCATTCTGTTTTGATAGGGTTGGTGCCAAAAGCTAGTTCACGGAGGTTGCGGTGGAGTTGGACCATCCATCCCGCCCTCAATAGAGACGGTCTCAGGGATCACATCTCCTAGACCCCGGTTTTCTTTCTGGGACAGTGCTGGACGCATGGTGGCACTTCGCCTCTCGCTGACTAGCCCCTCTTCCCTGCTGGCTATGCCCTGTTTACTAACATTTTCTTCCTCAGACCTGCGAATATCAACGCTTCACTAGACACGTTTTCTCCCGTCATCCCGGGAGAGTTGTTATCCTAGGGCCCTGCGTTTTAAATGATGGGATCTTTCTTGTCAGTGTTTCTGTGCTAACACTCTTCTTCCAAGTTAAAGGCACATTTAGTGCCTTGAATCTTCAAGGTTGTTTTGCAAATGACTTGGAGTAAAAGCACACAACTGTGTGTTTTGTGATTGAGTTGTTTCGTTTGAACTCCAATGTAACTCCAAAACTGTTTTGATTAAATCAGTTCACTCTAAATTATAAAATGGAAAGATAATATACATTTAATGCTTTATTCTCCAATATTAATTACATTTAGATAAATAAATTGAATGCTAAAGGTAATCAAGTTCATATTTCATTTTACTTTTAGATCAAAAACAACTTAAACAAAACCCCACAAGGATTTTCCCATTAAAACACTCTTAATAGCTACTTACATCTTTCTAAGTGCTGTGTATTTGATGAAAACTTTATCTGGAAGACTGCGAATTTTGTTTTTCTTAAGAGACCTAAAATAACATACAAAGCAGATGTCAGTAAGGGTTTATGACCAACCAAACTCTTCTCTGGATGCTGCATGCTGAGAAGAGACCTCTGAGGGCCCCCACGCCAGTCCTCTTTGGAAAGGACCTTAGTGAATGAAGACATTCTCACGTAATAACAAAAAGTCCAGAGTGCAAAATTAAAACAGCTTGCAAGCATTAGACCAGTTTAGCCAGTGAGCATAATAGACTGGAACATCTCGGGTGATTTCGTTTTGTCGTTTACTGTCTGGATAATTTAAAGAAACACAACAAAAAACATGACTCCAAAACAACAAAAGTCCCAACCAGCTCACACATGCCCAAATTGTGGTATGACAGCAAATTCCAGAGACTCTCCAAACGTTATGCAAAGTACACACATGTGCATGATTGTGACATGCCAGCTCCGTGGCTCTCTATACCTGCGTACTTGGAACAAATGACCACTTTATAAAGGAGGTACAGTCCGGCCGGTGTGGCTCAGTGGTTGAGCATCGACCCATGCACCAAAAGGTCGCCGGTTCAATTCCCGGTCAGGGCACATGCCCAGGTTGGGGACGATGCCCAGTGGGGGGCAGGCAGGAGGCAGCCAGTCGATGTTCTCACTCATCAATGTTTCTATCTCTCTCTCCCTCTCCCTTCCTCTCTCTCTAAAATCAAGAAAGGAAAATAAATAAAAAGGAGGTGCAACAAGTGCATACTCCCCCTTTTCTTCATGTTGATTTTTAATCACGTAGGACTAACCTACTAGCAACAATACATAAATCATAAAGTAAGAGAGAAGAACCCCAAACCACAGGCATGTGTGAGCTACAGGCTACCTTGGCTAAGCTAACAGACAGCATTTAAGACATCGCTCCCTGGAGAAGCGGCATGCAGGATTCCCCGACGGCTGCTCAGTTTAACATACAATAGCACAGAACAGAACGAGGAGAGATCAGGCCAGGCTGCACACTCTTCCAGTGACCTCAGGGGCACGTCATTGCACTGCGACCCGTACTCACAGGAGCGTCACGTTGCCGGAGGTGGGCGGCACGGACCTGAGGCCGGCGTTCACGCACTCCAGCTCCGTCCCTCGACAGTCACAGCGCCGCGGGTGCTGGGTCAGGACTGGGGGCCGAACACAGGCAGGACACGCTTCAGTTGTGACTCCATCTCCAATAACTGCCACTGCTCTCTCTTCTCTGAATGTGTAACATTTACATGCTGATAATGACTAATTCAGTCCCATAACCAAAGCAAATAACAATTCTCTTGTAGTCACACACCGACTAGTGTGGTTTCCATCCTGGTTCACCCTCCCGGGGGTCTTTCCAGAGGCATTCAACAAGTGATTAGAAAGAAACCATAGAAATGTTTAAATAGCAAAAAAAAGTTATAGTGAAACAAGATTACGTTCTCCTCAATGAGGAAGGTTAGTATATTGGAGTAAATCTTTTATTTGTGTAATTGAGTCAATTCAATTTCATCAAATGGCTCAAAGCGGCTCCTCAAGCAAACGCTTATTGATTAAAATGAGATTCAATTATTTTCCCTTTTTATTTTTTAATTTTATGTTTTTTATCGTCGGAAGTATTACAGAAGTCCTCCTTTCCCCCGCTGACCCCTCCTTCCGCTCCCACCGCCCCTGCCTCCCCAGCCGAGCGTCCGGGTTGGTGGCTGCACATAAACGCTGATCAGTTCTTTGGTTTGTCTCGTCCCTTATTTTCCCCTTTCAAACTCCTCTTAGAGGACAGTTAGATGCAGGTTCTGCGGTAGCCACCACCGTGCCTTATTACAGTCAACCAAGTCAGTGTTTGGTTCTCATTGCTGTGAAGTTGAAGTGGAAGGTAAGGGACGCAGAGCTGCTACCAAGCCAAGGACACCGCAGGGCCCTCTCCCCAAGCGCTCCGAAGGCAAAGCAGGCTGCAGAACCTGCTCCCGAGGAGCCTCACAGTCATTCACATAATGACATAGAGGAGGAGAAATCTAGGGTGAAACCAGGCCGGTGGCTCATGGGACAACCGCGTGTGTGCACATGTGTATTTGGGGGGGGGGGGGCGTGGGAAGAACACACATTTATGGAGCATTTGATTTTGCCTCTAATTCTGTGGCTGTTTTGGTGGAGCTAAGAAAATCAGAGTTATTTTCAAAATTTCAGCTTTATTATTATTCATTTAAATCTGACTATAAGTTTTCTGTAATTGATCTGCTTATTTTAGATTACTTTTATCCAGACTCGATTTTAAAAATCAATTTTACTGACTTTTCGTCAATTCAGGAAACTTGTGTTGGGCACCTGCTTAATTCACAAGATGCTGCCAGTGTATCAAGTTTTAGAGACTATTCTATGCCGTTTGTAACTTCGTGCTAATTAGTTCAACTTCCTAAACACTACTTGGGACTGTGTGCTTCAGTGTTTGTTGAGATTGAGAGCAGCGTTATTCAGACTGAAAGCCTGTGGTCGGACACGTATTTGTCCACGAAAGGACGTGGTGGAGCCCAGGCTGGGCCTCAGCCGAAGAGAACCGTGAGGAGAACACCTGCCCCGCAGGCCCGTCTCACCCCAGCTTGGCGGAGTCCTCTTCTGAAATGCCTCTGAGTCTCTCCCCTCACTCTTCCCGGTGGTATTGCCCAGCTCGGATTCTAGCCTCAGTCCAGAGCAGTGCACGAAACATGACCCGTGTCTCTGTCACCTCTCTTTGTCCTCGGCCTCGGCAAGGCTGACATTCGGAGCAGCTCACTGTCTGCTGCTGGGGGCTGTCCCGTGCACTGCAGGGTGCTCAGCAGCACCTGTGGCCTCTGCCCACTAGATGCCAGTAGCAACCCACCTCCCTCCAGCTGTGACAACCAAAAATGTCTTCAAACATGGTCAGATGCCCTCTGAGGGCTGGGGTGTTGTCCCAGCTGGAGAATAACCATTCCAGTCCACCTCTACAGCTCTGACGGGAACATCATTGTCACACACACTGCTTGCCGTGTGCCTTTCCCTCTTCATTAAAGAAAAGCAGGCTCCCAGCCCCCATGGTTGCCCACGAGTACAGCAGTGATTGCCACAAAGGGGTGTGGCTCAGGAAGAAAATATCAAAACTCTCAGTGACATTTATCTCTAATCTTGTAATTTGCTCTTTTTAATTTCTAACTTTTATGTATGATATATTTGTTTGTAATAAAGTATATGATAAGTGGTCACTAGAACCTGGTATTACAAAGTACATAATATACTGTGAGTGTTGTATTTGATTATACATACACCTACACAATTATGTCTATGTGTGTACCTATATTATGTAATTATATGTAATATCATGTCATATATGTCATATATGTACACACACAGACACAATTTTGTCTCTAGGATAGAGGCCAAGCTCCAAAGTGTGCAGCTGAAGCATTTTCTGGGCAGGCCCTACCCTTCCAGTTCAGCTCCTGCTGTCCCCCCACCACCCATTCAGCACCCTGTGAAAGGCACGGGAAGCATGCTCTGCACCCTCCCACCTCAGGGTTTTGCTGATCTTGCTCCCCTGCTCACTCTCTTCCCTCTGACCCTTCCCTCCAGCCAAGGACTTCCAAGTTCATCTCAATGTCATCTTCTCTCTGGGGCTTTCCCCATCCATGACAGAGCCACCCTTTCTTCCAAGGGATTTCCACATTTCCTTAGGCAAGCACCATTCCCTAGTTTTGCACTAATACTGTACCATTCCTGTGTCTTAAAGAATCTGTCTTTCCTACTACAATGTGAGGCATCTGTGGGCTGGGGCCACATCTCATTATTGGACTCTCAGTGCCTAACACAGGGGCTGAAAAGCAGTTGGTGTGAAGAAACGAATGAAAAGAAGTAAGATCTGTATTACTTGTCATAATTATTCCACACCTGTATATTCTTGCAATCAGAGACTAATACAGAAAATGAGCATGAATGGAACATGTTGTGTTTGTCTCTTTGCTTTTTAGTCCCTGGGCATCCAGTGGACAGTGTGACCCTGAAATAGACTGAACTGAAATGGAAATCTACAGGGAATTGACCACCCTCCCCAGATAACTCTGTGACCGCAAACCACCTGGAGCTGCTCAACCAATGCCACTTACAGCACTCCGGTGCGAAAGTCACTTCGTCAGCATTTCCATGGATTGTGCCAAATATAGTCGCCCATCCACTAGTGTCCCCTGCAAAATGGTGATGGATGTGTCAGTTATGCTGCAAATTGAATGTCAAAGTACAAAACAAAAGTCGAAGAATTTGATAATGAAATCAGTTAACTGGCTTAAGGGACAGAATGAGAACATTGAGGGTAAGGAAGAAAAAGCTAGGCAGACATTTGTAGTTTCTCTCTTTTCTGAAATAATAAATATTTCAAATGTATGTGTCATAAAATATATAGTAAAAATATACAGTAATTTTATACACATCTTGAAAAATGTCACCTATTTCCAATGCTGGCATTTTTAAGTTTGATCTTAATTTTGAGGCCCTCAGAAGAAAATAGAATCTGAATTTTATTTTGTCACATGCAAACTTCTGCATATGGATATGTAGGCATGTAGTTGATAGATGTAATGAGTTCTGATAATATTCATGTCACCTGATGTTTTTAATAAAGCAAAACAAAGTCCCTTTTAATAAAGGCTGTCTAGTCTTACTGAAAGAAATAACATTTTATCAATTTTTTAGAGACTGTGATGTGTATTTGCCAAGTTTCTTTCTCTCCTTTTTTGCAATAAAATTATATTTTTAAAGAAGAAGGACCGATTTTGAAGAACCATTACTTTAGCAAATGCTGTTATCATGATAAGATATGCATTAAATGTATGATACCAAAGTTCATACAAATAGAAAAGTAAAGTGGAGACAGACTCATGGGTACAGAGAACAGACGGACAGCTGTCAGAGGGGAGGAGATTGGGGGCTGGGTGAGGAGAGTGAAGGGAATAAGCAAAGAAAAAAAAGAAAGACTCGTGGACACAGACAACAGTATGGTGGTTGCCAGAGGGAAGGGGATGGAGGAGGTAGAAGGATGAATGGAGGGAGACTTGAGGTGAGGAACACACAGTATAATACACAGATGATGTGCTGTAGAATTGTATACCTGTATCATTTTATTAACCAATGTCATCCCAATAAATTAATAAATAAACTAATAAAAAAAATAAATGTAAATAGTGGCCCAAAGTTCCCTTTGATCCCTGCAATCTTTAATTTAGTTCTATTTCTTATTAATATCCTCACTGGTTCTTATAACGATTCTACTTGCTGTCTTTACAGGGATTATTTATTTTGTGTTCAGAACATATTCATGAGATAGATAAACACACACCATCACTGATTCCCATGCAGTGAAGGGGTAAAAGCCAAGAATCTGACTGGCTTGACCTTGACCTCTAGTGAACTGCCCCATCACTGAGCACGGATTGAGCACCTACTATGTACTTTATTGTTCTAGGCTCTGGTGACACACAAACAAGACACAAACAACTTGCCTTGAGGAGTTCATATCTAGTGAGAGAAGCATAGTGAAAAGGCAAGACAGTCCATACCGTGGTCACACAGGTAACACCAAGGTGTTATAGCAACAGAGAAAGGTCCTTGTCCTAGGCTGGTGGTGGAGCTTCAGGGTGGGAAGCCTGGCAGGGTCAGCCAAGCTCCCAGGTCCTTAACTGCACCCTAAGGTACGGGTGGGAGGGACCCACAGGAGGTGTGGATACCAGGGGCGGGAGAGCAGATTCTAGAGACAGATGCTCACATCCCTGGACTTGGCTGTGCCACTCTGACTGCTAGCTGGGCGGTGTCTACAAGTGGCAGTTCTGTGTGGTAGAAAACACACAGGATTCTTTCAGATTCAGATTGCGTCCGAGTGTCTACCCCATGACTAACTAGACACATCATCTTCTCTTGGCATCGATCTCTTTGAGAAGCAAATGCACAGGTTAGATTAGATAATATTTGTAGTCTCAATATACAGACCTAAAATCGCTGTACAACCCTTCATAATCGGATCTCTGCTGAATCATTTACCCTTTATATTCTTGATCACTCTGCTCAAGCCATGCTGCTTTTTTTGACAAACACATTGTCTTATTTTATGCAACCTCAGGGTCTTTACATGGAAATTGTTTCCTCCAGGATGTGTCGTGGTTTCTCTCTTTCCACCTCATCCTCAGTTCAAACGTCGTCATCTCAGAGAGGGTTTCTTTGGTCATGTCTTTGCAGTAGCCCTCCCTCCGAGTCACTTTCTAGCCATTATGCGGTTTTATGTACTTCATGACTATCACTCTGAAATGATTTAATTCATTTATGTATGAGTGTGTCATCCTCCTTGATCACATGGTCCATGTGAGCTTCGAGCCTGCGGGGTCCCGGTGGCTTTGCGAGCACCTGGCACACCGTGGGCACTAACCCATGAGCTCTCTAGGCAGGTCCATTCGCACAAACCAGTTACCAACCTAGAATGAGGTAGTCATAAGAAACCAAAACCTGAATAGCCAAGTAGAATTTAAAATGTAATTTAAATTTTTTACCAAAGATAACACTTTATAATACTGCATTTCTATTTTAAGGAAGCTCTGTATATGAAAGCTCAGGTAATTACCATCAACACATTGGGGAGCGATGATTTGTGTCACAAAGGGATTCCCTACAGAATACCCAACCATCTCTCCCAGTTTGTTAACATTGTGACCCAAGTCCCCCACGGCTTGGGGGCTCACAGGCGGGGTGCACCTCCCGAGGGCGGAGTCCTTACCGCAGTTGTCCTCGTCCGCCCCGTCCCCACAGTCGTTCACGCCGTCGCAGTGGAAAGAGCGCGGCAAGCACTTGGTCAGGTTCCCACAGGGGAAGTATCCTTCTGGGCACACGGGAGTGATTGTGCTGCCTTCGGTCAGCGCGAAGCCTGTGCGAGAGAGGCGTGCGGATCTCAGGTGACAGCAGGACATGGTGATGTGGCCGGACTTTCCATGGTGCCCCCTTCAATTTTCACAGGAACCGTGAATTGAGTTTGTCTGGTGTTATTCTAAATGCACAATTTCTGTGCACAGTATTCTTCACTAGAACATTTTAAACAACTGTGATCATACCTAACGCCAGCTACACCAAGAATGGAAGAAGGCTCATTTTGGAGTCACTTCAGGAAGTCTATAGTAACCAATACCAAAGCAATGGTCCATTCGTAGAAACAGAAAAGCAAAACCTTGAGCTCACAGAATCAAACTGATGGATTCAATATGTTTTTCTCATTCTTTTTTATTTTTTTTTTAGGAAGAGAGAGAGACAGAAACATTGATCGGCTCCCTCCTGCACACGCCCTACCCGGGATCGAGCCTGCAACCCGGGCATGTGCCCTGACTGGGAATCAATCCGGGACCTCTCAGTCCATGGGATGACGCTCAATCCACTGAGCCACACTGGCTGGGCTCAAATTGAATAATTTATTTGCTTACTAACCTTTTACAAGAAGGATTTGAGGTGACTTATAATAAAACATACATATGAAAAGGACAATATAAGTTTAAATTAGAGAGAAATTCGGAACCACATTTGGATAATGAGACAATAGTAAGTAACAATATCTCGTTGAGCTCACTGTGTGCCAGGTGGTTGGCGCAGTGGTTTATCTAAGCATTCCTGAGACAGATCTTTGTGTGCGTGATAATACCCTTTATGTTCCAGACATCTGTCTGGAAAGCCCAAAGGGCAGACCTGAGTCGCCCCCCTGACTCCACAGCCCGCCGTAACCACTGTCCGTGAGGACAGCAGCTGGGCGAGGACCTGCACTTCCAGAAGCATCAGTCCCCTGTGAGGATGGATTAAGAATTGTCTTCTTGGGCAGCACATATGAGAAGATGAGAGTTGAAGAACTGCCACATTAAATCAGGGAAGGCAGAAAGGAAAGATAACCTTTACAGGGTTACCATATCTGGGGATAAGATGACCAGGAAATTCCAGAAACTTAGATGTGAGAGACACTCTTGCAATTCTGAAAGGGTACGTTCCAGGCAATAAAGAGCTGTGTTCTTTGCACACGTCAGTGGAATGGTGGGAGTCACGTATTTTCAAAAAGGAGTGCAACATGAACCCGCACTGACACTGATTGAGAAGAGTGTAGACTCAGGGTGGTCAGTTCAGTTTGGCTAATCGAAAGGAGTGAGGGATGTGGCCAAAGCGTCGCTAATCACACCACCGTAGGCTGGCATTGCGGCTAGGAATTGCCTTGGTCGGCGAGACAGTGTGCTTAATGTGGCAGAAGGATGAAGGACAAATCTTTGTGCTGGGTGTCTCCTAATTCTTTTCTTTAATAGCAACTTGGTGTGGTTGGTGTTATTATCTGCACGTAAAGATGAAGAAATGGAGACTGAAAATGCGAAAGTACCTTGACTCTGGATCTTGGGGAAATACCCGTGGGAGAGCCCGGCCCTTTAAGGAAATGCTGCCTTGGAGAGAGGTGTTCTCCCAGCAGGCTGACCACCAAGTTCGCCTACAGTGGGCGAAGCCTGCTGGCCCTCATTGTTTAAGAAACAGAGCCATTGTTTTAGGGCGGGAGTGTGAGTTTTGGCCTAAAACCCTGTGTGAGTTACAAGTTCATGTTAAGCTTTCAGTGACATCGTTAGAGGGTGAGTGGAGCATTGGATCACTTGGGCTTTAGTCCTTTAGTCATGGTGGCCCTGAAATCCTGGCAAACTCATAGAAGAGGGGAGTCTGGGCCTGTGGAGGGCTCAGCCAGCTGAGGCGGTGCGCACCCTCCCCAGAAGCGGTAGGTCTTCCCTGAGTGGGGCCTGTGGCCCTCAGATGCTTTTCTGAAACCGTCTGGATTTTTGTTCTTACAAAAGCAAAACATATTTTCTCTGCTGTTGCTGCAGCGGTGGATAAATGATTTACTATCAGCAAGTATGCCTCAGAGCAGTCAGGTCTGACTATTTATGGAAGACTCTTTCTGCTCCGGGGGTTGGCTTGTGAAGGCTCTTCCCACGGGACGTGTATACTGAGTCATGGACTTTGAAATCTCTTAACTTCTTTCTTGTAAAGATTTCTGGAGGGAGCAGATTTATGAACACTAGCGGTACTCCTATATTCGGAACATGAGTGAGTGAGGAGGGTCAGTATATTTTCGTGCAACAGCCTTGACATTTTTAAAGATAGAAATAAATTGTGTACCACAGTTCAACATACAAACTCCACACATAGACTGTAAGCAAAATTTCTTCAACTATCACTTGCTTTTACTATGTGGGATGTACTCTGATCATTGCCAGTCTATCTTAGTCACTTGAAAAGGGATCGCAGGCTACTAAGTTGAACTCATGATCCATCTGCTCATGGGATGTTGCTCAATATTGATGATTTCACTCATATGTGGGGTATAAAGCAGAAAACAACAAACAAAAGAAACCAGCACACTCAGGCACAGACAACAGGACGGTGGTCACCAAGGGAGTGGGAGGTAGAAGAGGGCGGGGGGTCACGGACGTGGAGACCAGACTCTGGGAAGTGGACACAATGCAACATGCAGGGGCTGTATTATAGAGCTGTACCCGTGACACATGTATTCTTATGAACCAATTCCACCTCGATACATTTAATGAAATTTAAAAATTAAAAGAAGTAAAGCTATTCATTGGCAACACAGTGCCCTGGAGCCCATCAGACCTGGCTGCATGAGCACACCTCGGCCGCGCACTAGCCGTGCGACCATGGAGCAAGCTGCTTAAACCTCTTTAAATTTGAGTTTTCCGATATTTAAAATAAAGTTGATGATAATATCCCCCCAGTGGGTGTGTTTCAGGAGCGAGATCAGTTAATGCTTGTGAAGTACTGGGTAGTGCCGAGCCCATGGTGACCCTTTGGTGAATGTTGACACACGGGCAAGCTCAACACAAGGTTAGAACAAAGAACTTTAAGAAGGAAGCCCTAGTGTCCAAGGTGAGCTTCTGTGCCTCAGCATTGCATGCTTCTGTCTTTCTTTTAAAGAAAATTCTCACCTAAGGATATTTTGTCCCTCATTTATCCTCAGATAAAGTGGGAGGGAGAGAGAGAGAAACATCGATGTGAGAGAGACACATCGACCGGTTGCCTCCTACACAACCCTGACCAGAGCCAGGGACCAACCGCAACCGAGGTACATGCCCTTGACCGGAATTGAACCCACGACTCTTTGGTCTATGGGCCAACACTCTAACCACTGAGCCAAACCAGCCAGGGTGCATTGCATGATTCTTTATGTAACTTTCTATGAAAGAAAAATTAGAGACTACCATAAAGCTTCCCCTACTTCTTCATTCTATTCTATCTTAAAAACCATATGACATATGCAGTTTCTATCTTAAGCAGACTCAAATCTCTTTGGAAACCTAATGGGAGAGTTGTAAGTAATAAATAAGCAATGAAAATGTGTTCACAATATGAAATATCAACATTTTCTGAAAGATCCAAAAGAGGTGATTAGATATTCGATTAAAGACAATTTTGAAGTAGAAAGCTGAGGCTGGGTAAGATTTCTTGAAGGCTGTAGATTGTGTTTTCTTATGGGGTTATCATGAAGGGAACCTAGAGTAATCTGAGGGGTGCACCCAAATAAATGTCTACTTAACAGATGCAGACTCCCTCGGAGGGAGACAAGCAATGCGTTGTCTCAGACAGAAGGGGTTTCGATTGTGTTCTTCTCACTGAAAAATAGGGGGTCACGTGTCATCAGTATGGGTGAGGGGAGGGGGGGGAAGGGCTGACCATGTACAAATAGAAATGGTTGATTGCATTTCTCCTAATTCCCCATCTTTCATCTGAGAATGTCTTCCTAAGTATACATTTTATGTGGTAGGAAAATAAGGAAATGTAACTTATCCCCTACTCCCTGCCCTCTGTATTCTAAACCCCCATTGTTCAGTTTAGTGCCTGGTACTTACTTGGTGCTCAATAATGATTTTAATGACTGAATGAATGAGTCAGTAAGGAATATAAGAGGAATTGAAAAAAGAGCCTCTTTCAAGATGTAAACTTCCCAAAGTTGCAGGCTTATGTATTTATGTTGATAACTAGGCATTGTTTGGTCTGTATACTCTCATCTGTTCAGTCATTATATAACTTAAAAAAATAATTAAGAACCCCTGCTGCATTTAGCCTTACTGAAAATGAAATCATAGTCATCTATAGAAAGCATGATCTGCTGTCCATGCTTCCTGCTGTCTGTGAACGTGGAAAGAAATTGTTTTATGGAATCTTGGGGATTATAAACATGGAAGAGCCTTCATAAAAGCTAGGTTGATAGCTTTTGCAGTGATGTCTATGGGACCCCTGCCAAACACACAGCTAAGGGAGGGTTGGAACACATGAAAAAAAATTGCTCAGTAATATAGTCTTTCTTCTTCTTTCTTCTGATCAGCATTCTGGACATGTCTCTGCAAAGGGATTTTAAAATGACTCTTTTATAGCCTTTGAAGCCAACCAGACTGCTGCTCAAGAACTTGTACTGTCTACCAGTCCCTTCCTTGTGTTATTGGAAAATAACAGCTGAGAACTACCTTTTAGGTCTGAGTTCGAGAATCCTCGGAGCTGTGCAAGTCTCTCTCTCTTTCTCTGGTTCTCTACCAGTGCTGCACAAAGCTGAAGAAAGCACTCATTCAGGCTAAAATCTTGTTGTTGTTTTTATCTTAGCATTTAGAGCCTATCTTGTTCTGCATGAGTTTGAGAGACTACCTTCTTCCTAAAATCTGCCCTAGCACAATGAGCTCAGAGAACGAACGCTCTGGTGGGTGAAGGAAGAAGAACTTGGGAAGGGTGACCAGGAAAGAGACAGGTGAAGCCTGATGGGACCTTGGCACAGGAGATGTGGAGAGCAGAGAGGGTGCTACCTTTGTCCCTTGGCCCCCTCTCTCCTAATCTGATTCATTAACTGCTCTGTCTCAACGGACTTTCCCTGGCTGTTCTTCTGATTGATGGTAGTTCT